AAGCTGTATTATGTGATTTACTCAAAAGGTCTTCGAATTTTCTTCGCAAAGCTACTTTAGCATTAGACCTAATAGAGTTGGAAATCAACACTGACCCGCTCACTATTCTCCTCCAGAGGTGGTCCTCCAAATATTTAGCACAAAAGTTTTCCTTCGTCTCGCACTTCTTCCACTTGGCGAACATCTGGTTTTGTCGGCTTCGTAGACAAGTGCGTAGTATTCGCAATTCGACGTCCAATACTTGGTGACTGTCCTCTGGTAGACCGCATACGTCGTGTAGTCGTCTTCGTTTGATGAAGTTCGGAACGACTTGATGTTTTAGACAGCGGCGGAGAAAGTGTATTGACTGTCGAGCTAAGACGATCTTTTGTCTCAGTGACAGCGCTTCTTTTACAAGTCGGAAGTATCTTGCTGGTACATCTTGCAGTAACTGCCACGACCGACTTTCTATTCGATAGGGATACGGTGGTGAATTGCTTCTCTACAATTTCCGCTAGAGTTATCACTAGCGATGTAACTTTATCAACAGCCTTTCTAAAGGATAACCTTAAGTATCATGTCGACTTCTTTTCTGAGCCAAGCAAGAACGAAAGGCTTGATATAGTTACAGTGAGCTCATCCTACTACTGGAAATAATTGACAAAAGTTGGTAACATAACGCAACTAGGATTTCGCAATATTTCAATAGAAGCCAGGAAGCGTAGGAACTTCTTGTTCGTACATAAGAAGCCTTCGACGTTTTTATGGATATGTAGAGAACAATTCTACCAGTTTCAACAAAAGTAGGAGTTTCCAAGCGGTGCGGAACGAAAATAGCAGCGTCTTGTAGACTCCAGCAACAACAGAAACAATATAGGCGGGTTACTGTCTTGAACTAGCACTGCCTCAGCATCAATAAGAGAAATATCTAAAAAACTGAATTTGTTTTAGTTCGCTCCAACTGCAGTTAACTGCCAAAACAAATTGCCGGACGATGCCTGCTTGGTACTCTATACAGAAGCAGTAAAAGCAATGGGTGCAGATGATCGAAATGAGAGATGTTATAAAGTATGGAACTTTCCTGATTATCTTTCTTCTTCCAGGTCTTGTGATCTTTCTCGATTGCACTCGTCGTTTTAATTCGATCAAAGACTAGAGAATAGGCGCACATCCTGGTAGTAGTCACTGGAAAGCTTTTAATTTGTTTTTTATTGCGTTTGTCTTAAATTTGTTCCGTGGAAATTCTTTTACAGTTAGAAAGTTCAGCTTCGAAATAATGTGGATCCAGATTTGGTACAAGCAGCTGTTGATTTTTGTCCACAGACGTGTGGCTACTGTTGTATCACACCAGAGTTCAATTGCGAAGACAAGCGATGTGAGTTTGTCGTCGAAACTACAGAAGATGCAAGCTATTTCTTCATTGCTCTTTTTCTGCATCCCGTAGTCTTACGTCTTCGTTCAGCTTATTTTAAAAAAACTCTAAAAAATACAGATATAATGCTCCTTCTTTCATATTTGTGAAATAAACACGGTTTTTTCTATTTTGTTTGATCTATATCTATGAGCTTTATAGCAGTATCTATTCATCTACTCATTTGGAAGATTTTGTTGTTAGCTTGTTGTTCCTGGTAAGCGCCGCAATTGTAATTAGAGAGAGAATCGTCAAAGAGAACAGAAGTTTCGGTATCAATAGATAGCCAGGAAGACAGTTCTTGTGTACCAGAATCTACGCTTCTACGACGTCAGTAACAGTTTCTCAATGCACCTGGTGTCGACCGTTTACACTTCTTCACTCAATTCGTCCTCAAAAGAATTGAGAAAACAGTGGAAGAATAGCGATTTGTGAAGAAAGGTTTTGTTTCGAAAACTTCTTAAAAAGATGGAAAAAAAGCCGAAGACAAAGACATTCGATGAACTTTCATGAAAGAACGCGACCTCACTTGTTTCAGCTTCAATAACATAAAGGTGACTTTCAATTCAGTCGACAGTGAAGGAATAGTGAAAGCACTGGGTATCAGAGTTTCCTGAGGATGAAAAGATGCTTCATGAGGTAATTAACAACGTCATAATAAGTACATCACAACTCCACAACGACATTGACATTGACGTAAAGAGGTGGATTCTACAAGGCGATACCATCTCGTCAAGATTATCTACGGCCACACTTGAGAAGGGTATGAGTGGACTTAAATGGAACAACACGAGAGTGGAAGTCGATGATCAACAATGACATCGTCTTTGCTTAGTTAATGATATTTTTCTTTTAAACATCGATCATTAGACAGGTGGAATAAATGTTGGCCGACTTCGAACGCTTATGCAAAGTTGGTCTCCGCCTAAATCTTAAAAACGTTTTTAAGAACTCACTTGTTTATGGTAGCTGGCTCGCGATCAGCTAAATGAATGAAGTACTCCTGCGATGTGCATCAGATTCGGAAAGTCAAGTGAATGACTTAGCTGCAAATTTGAGCAGAAGAAAGTGAGGAACTTGTGGAGTTTTCAAAAGCATCGACGATGTAGTGAAGAAGATTAAGAACACTCGATTTTGCGCCCACCTTACCAACTACGCAAATGCTTAACGTAAGCGTTGGAAACCTGGTCATTGCTGGAGACGAAGAATAAATCAGCCAGCCCTATTGAATGTGGACGGTAGATGGCTATCTTGGGAGTGTAAGTGAGACGAAGAATACAAAGTTCGCAATGACGTCAGTGACAAAAGTCTAGGAACTCAAAATGTTGAAGGCCAAGTGGGCCTCACAAACGATGCGTCGAAATTGCAAACGGTAGAGAAGTGCCGTTAGCAAAGACTTTCTATAGGTTCCCAAGCGCATGGCGGGAAAGGCTTCAAACCGGTGATCAAAATTCTCCATGAAAATCTTAGGGAAAGAATAATGCCCTCAGCAACTCCGTAGAGATAGAACTCACTGAGCTACACTTTTATGTTATAGGAGAAAACGAAGAATTTACCGGCTTATACTTGATATCCGACCAACCAGAGTTCTGATGATGTAAGTGATATAGGCTTGATAGTAAATAAAGCACTTTCATTGCTGCTTACAAGCAGTTCCTTATTGAGGCCTGAATAGATCCAAGTTGGTTTTCAACACAGGAATAGGACATCCCGAAAAATAATACACCAGAACAGTTTAATAACTGATCATGGCGTTCAGTAACAGTAATTATGGGGCGGATAGCACAGTCGTTGTGATGTCGATCATCACGAGCATGGTGTTGGTTCTATCTAGTTCGGAATTCGCCAAACCTCTCATCAATATGGGACCCGGCTGTCTCAAGAGATTAGGGAGAATCGGCTGGAATAGCATTCAAGGACATGCAAGATGAAAGGAAAATCGTCAAGCAGCGGCCGAAGCCATACGTAAAAGGTTGGAAGATCTTGGTGGATATGGGGTTTCGAGAAAACGAATCGAATTGGAGAAGAGCCGGGACACCCACAGCAGATATGAAAGGCCCGTTGTGTGAAAAATATTCGTTAATATTTATGGCATGTTCCCCTCGCATTGGAAATCTTTTCACACGTGACGCAGAAAGCTTCCCGTCCGTAAACCAAAAAAGTTTTCGGTTTCGTTTTGGAATTGGAATAATCAGGGTAGTTCCGTCGTAGATGGTTTATGACAACAGGTTTGCTAGGTTTGAATGTAATGAATGAACGAATGCGAGTAGTCCGAACATGCGATGTTCTCGTAGCACCCTCGATTGTAGTGTGCTCAATGTGTGCTAATTGATCTATATATTCTCTTTTAGGAACAAACCTTGTGGTTTATAATGATGTAATTCTCATCTCAAAAGAATTTTCGACAGCTGAGTTTGCACAATACGGGTTATTCGAATGAATGCTACAGAGTGTTAGACCCGTTTCACCTCTATTATCTTCAATCTCTTCAGTCGACAGGTAACCCAATTGGAAAGGAGTTAACTCCAAGTACTCTGTAGGTGTCGCGCCTCTCGAGCATACGAGAAGCATCGCAGTTTAGTTGCGAACCCCATTGTAATCGTTACCGCGAAAATGGCCAAAGACGCTCCACTGCGCGTTACCGTCGAAGCCTTTGGATGAAAATTTTGAACTCCTCTCTATCTACAGAAATCATTCAGGAGTAGTCAGTATAACTCTCGGCTATACAATGCATCTTGACGACAAGGAATACTAACAGCCATGATGAAGTAGCAAAATATTTTGTTGGTGGCGTATATCCAAGATGAGAAAGTAGTCTGGTGAGATCAAAAGAGTTCACTTGAGATGTTCGAACGTATTCACCAAGTTGAATGGCCAAGGACTCGAGTATAACTTACGGATTTATGCTAACCGAAACGAACAGAATTCATAAGAGTCGCAAAAATTTCTGAACAGCGTAATCTTTCTGATATCATATTAAGATGAAAGCAGCAGGCTTTAATGCAGCCGTATACCTCCAAGAGGTTTGCTAACTTTGTGCGGCTTTTCCCAAGTAATGGTTGAATCGCTTAGTAAGAGAGCAAACAATAGCAATATTTCTATTGCGGCCGCATCTTGCATTGGGAAGGGATACAACAGTTTTTGCTGAATGGGATCCATTATAGAAGTACCGAATTCATATTGCTAATGACTATTTATAATTTCAGTTCCAAGCGTTATGTGCTCCAAGGTAACACCTGATATGTGTGCTGCTCCTGCCTGGAAGCCAGTTTTGGCAGAAAACTGCCCGAAAACCTGCGGATTGTGCACGGATGCTTCAGGTTAGGTTTCAACATAGAAGTTCTTATCTTGTTCTTTAAGCATTTTGGCTGCTAACCTTTGTTTTTCGGTGGTTGTGCTGACAAAATCAAATACTGTAATAGAGATCCTACCATTTGTGGGCAAGTGAGTATGCAGGCGTTTGTAAAGGTATGTAGTGGTATTTCATATCCTATTGAATTCATCGCTTTATTCATGGTAGGGTACTATGTGGAAAAAAATCATAAGCACGTCGAGATATTAGGAAAACTTGGAACCTCAGTTGGGCTTCGAACCCAACAGTCGCGCTTACATGTGGCTCACATGCTGTCCATCGCCACAGCGAGCCCATTGCTTTGCTATTCGCCCGGTGAGGGTAAGCGCGAGATCGAAGCCCAGATGAAGTTCTGAGTTTTGCGCATATCTCAGCATTATTGTAGCTCTTTTTCACGTCGTGCCCTAAAATTAGAAAGGAATAGGCAGTAAGTGAACATTAAACCAGTGTTTTTATCATTTTCACCTAAATTAACCTTTGAGGAAATCTGAGGAACGATTCTGTTTTTTCAGGAAAATTGCAAAAGAACTTGCGGATTCTGCCAAACCGTGACCACAAGGTCTCCCGTGGCAGGTAGGGTCCATTACTGCAAATGTTTTCGTTTCTGAACGGCGGTAGACCATTGAAAGCGCTTCTGAACAGTTGACACATTTCTTTTAGTAAGTAACAAATGCATCTTACATTAAAACTGATATTCTTGACGTCTTAAATTTTTCACCCACGTCTCCAACACAAAAAAATTCGTTACTTGTAGTGCTTACAAAGCCAGATCGTCTATTATGATAAAAATTAATTCCCACTTTAAGTGAAGAAATTTCAGGTCCGTGTGGAACAAATCCAAAGTGAGTTCTCTAGTTTCGAGCGTTCGGGTCAGAAAACCCAGAAATTCAGACACCAGTCTGAAATGCGTGCATCTTCAGCTGTGTTAACTGGGTTCGAAATGGTTTCTGCACAAACAACTTCTACAGCCTTGAGCAGAAGAGACAGTACTGTGGAAGAGAGTGCAGATTGTGCTAGCAAACGACGATGTCCTAACTTCATCGAAAAGACGAATGCCGTGACATTGCTTGTCATCACCATGATAATTCCTTGCAAGCAAAGACTATTGTTTAAATACATACTGTTCTTAGCCATAGAGGTGCAACGTTTTAAACTGGAAGAAATTTAGGGTAGATGACAACAAAAGATTCATGCATAACAGCCTGCCTTGCACATACATTACATTACATACATTACATTACATTACATACATACATAGATACATACATACATACATACATACATGCATACATACATACATACATACATAGCATACAAACATACATTGCATACATACATACATTGCATACATACACACATTGCATACATACATACATAACCACAGAAGTGGATTTGCTGCAAGGAGTTTGTCTGAGCATATGAGCGCTCTATCCTCACTGACATGTCGAAATAATTCCTTATTGGACGTAACTTTTTTTAGAATCATGAGATAACACTACTATAGCGTTTCGATGTGATCATAACAGACAGTAACTGACTCCGGTGAAATGGTTTCCTTCCGGGAAACCAGTGGATGGATTGTTTTTATTTTTTGGTATACACAACGGTTGAAAAACGCCGAATAAATCTGCTGGGTTCAAAACACCAGCAAAACCTTTTGCATTTTTGAGAAACACCAAGTGCTTCAATTCGTAAAATGTTTCTTTTTCGTCTAAAAATGATTTTCTTTTCTTCCACCATTAATTCATCAAAAACCACACTAAATCACGCGCTGGTAACACCGACTTGAGTTGGGCGGAAGGAAATCATATTGGTTGCGCACGACACAAAGGAGACATGAAAAGGCTCAGCCTGTTGTTCAAAGAAATAGGAAGGAATATTACTGTCTGAAATTATGACTTTCTGTTGACAAAAAATGATTAGAAAGGTACTGACCAAGGTGGGAAGGAGTTTGATAGTTTCGCCAAACATTTCCTGCGGAGGCCTAGTTACGGTTGAACTAGTACCAGAAACTGCCGCCGCCTTGGAGTGAAGAATGTGATAGGAGGTGAACTTTATTCCTAGCCACAAAGGCTTACTCTGTCCTGACCTAGTAAAGATCAAGCACATCTATTTTGGGCTCTAAGAAAAACATTTTGGCAAACGGACAAAGTGTTGGTGAGATGAACTTTGTCCTTAGTGTTTATGAAAACGAACTGTTAAAGAAGGTGTGAAGTTCGTCTGTTCTTACTCATTGATGACAACGCAGTCACATTGGGAATCAGCTGCGGTAGTACGGCAGATGCACCTTTAGAAGCGAAGTGTTTGAATAAAGACGATTCCGTAAGCATGAGGTGTTATTAATTTATTTTCTGAAACTGAACTTAAGGCGTAACACCTTAATGAACAAACAGAGAAGTACTAAACCAAGATTTTAATCGCATTGGAATCTAAGTAGCTTCTTCGCACACTCGCCGCGTTCTACACGTCTTCCACTCTGTATTTCACCTGGAGAGCTACCTCGCAGAGTTCAATTTGAAGCGTAATATGGCTTTCACATTAAAGTTTCAGTCTCAACCACTGCGTGAGATAACGCGTGATAACCAGACACTCCTCCCTACCGTTCATCTTTAAATTCTTAGAATTTAGCCTGAATGTTTCGAGAGTTTTGCACGTTTAAGTTTTCAATTCCCGTGAGTCCTATGCGTGCCTGGTAGGGTACTTGGTTTAACTTCAAGTTTAGACAATAGCTGTTTTTTTATACGAACTTAGAATGGTCTACTCGTTTCGCCAATGTATTCGTCACGTTTTACAAAAGGTTCACAAGTGCCTGTAGTGCCCATCCGTGTCTGACACAAAATCGCATAATATGCACATGAAATAGAGAAGACAATTGCATAAGTTCGCTTACGGTTTATCTGATTGCTGCTAAAGCGTGTGGGGACAATGCATTGGCAAAACGTGTAGGTCACTCCGTATCCTTATAAAAGAACACCGAGTCGGTAAATTTAAACTTGAACGAAATACTTTCCTATGCTTGGCAAAAGCACAGAGACATAACGGGGAAGGCTTTGAAGCAGAAGATAACATCTTCGCACAGAAATCGAAAACTTCAGCGCACAAAACTCTCGAAGTATCCCGGATAAATTCCAAGGGTCCGAAAATGAACCACGGAGAGGAATGTATCGTTACCACGCGTGATCGCACACCGTATTTAAGACCGATATTTTAACGTGAGAGAGGAACATTACGTTTTCACTTGAACTCTGTTTGGTGGGTCTTCAAGTGAAACAATCAGTGGAAAACTCACAGAAGGCGGTGAGTGTGCGGAGAAGCTATTCTATCCTATATGCTGTAAAAATCCTTGTTAAGGTTTTTTCTGTTTTGTTGTGGAGGTGTTTGGTTAGGTAGATTGCAGGTTCTAATCTAGCGACTGCACGTCCTCGTACCATGATAATCACTTTGGAAAACTTCATTATACGATTTTTGTGATTCCTTCAGGAACTGAGTGAGAACACGATTATCATTATTTCAACGACTTCACCCCTACGTCACATCACTGTTGAATAGAAGTTGTGCTCTTCAATGTTGTCGTATCGCTGATAACGGAATTTTGAACATTCGACACGATTTTTTACTTTTTACAGCAATACTGCGGTAACGATGATCGCTGCACTCTACTCAGGCCATCAGATGGCTTCATTTTATTCGAAGACAGCCGATGACATCCACATTCCAAATTCGAGGCCGTCACCGTTAATATTCTATAAACCCTAACATTGGAGTGACTGCTCAAAATACTGTACTCTCAATTTGCTCCTCTATTTCGGTGCGACAAGTGGATAAACAACTTTAGGCATTGCGATCAAGTGGACACATTAATATTTCTCATTGAAAACTAAGAAGACTATAAGGAATCAATAAATAATCGTAGTAACTAAAAAAACGAGCTCTTTGTTGGAACCTAATCGAACCGAAATGATCCTATTCCATTTGCTGTCAGATGTCTTTCAACACGATTTCTTTACATCTGCATCTACCCTTAGTGCAACATTTCTAACAAGTCGCTTCGAAGCTGCTTCGATCTTGGAGAAAGTCTGGCTGAAGCTTAAAATATCTGGTAAATAAGAATTGCAGTGGTGGATGGTATCTGAATAGTTCAGGATCCGTTCAGGTGCAATTTGTCATATAAAGGTATGATCTTTAATAAATCATTGCTACAGCACATTTATCATCATGTCGACGTCGTCCGAGCAGGCAATAACGTAGGTTATCAAATCCCGTATATACCGCATACACTTTACGTAAGCCTTGCATCCATGTCTAAGGTGGAAGCGCCAGTAATCGACCTCGGTCCATTACTCTACTGTAGATATATAGATGACTAATTGGTCATTTGTTCAACAAAAAAAGAAATTGACAGATGTTTCGAGTTGTTGAACGAGCAGTCAGAGTATATTAAATTCACCCGAGAAAAACCAAAAGAAGACTGGCTTCCATTTCTGAACGTGCAAATTAGCCTATCAGAAAACGGCTACATTACGAAGTGGTATCGAAAGCCAAGTAGTGAAAACATCCTAGTTCATTACCTCTCCTCTCATCCCTCTCACACGAAAAGGGCGCTTATAAGAAACATGTTTCGAACGGCAACCAACATGTGCATGGGAAGAGAGCAGAGAGAGGAGTCCCGGAACTTGGCGCGGCAAATAACTATTTTTAATGGCTACGAAACTGTAGCTTAAAATAGGTGTAGAGGACACCACAGGTACCCCAACGATAACTCAAGCGACAATAAGGGCCCGTTTATACCGCCCTTGATTTCAAATGAAGTAAGTGCAGCTATAAAACGGTGTTTAAGAAGAGCTGGTCTAGAGAAGTCTAGAGAATTCGATAACGATAATTGAAACGCCACTGAGTAATCTAATACGCCAGCTAGTTCGTAACTGCCTATACCACCGTCTATGTGCAACGCAAAATTGCATAATCTGCTCCAATGGTAGAGACGGTGACTGCATGAGTTCGGGTACAGTCTATCTGATCTATTGTAAAGCGTGCGGGGACGAATACGTTGGCGAAACGGGTAGACTACTCTGCGTGCGTATCAAAGAACACCTAGCCGACAAACGTAAACCAAATACTACAGTAGGCACGCATAGGACGCAGAGACAACGGAGGAGATTTTGAAGTAGAAGTTACGATCCTCGCGTTAGAATCGAGAACACGAGCGCGAAAAATTCTGGAGGCATTCTGGATTAATTCCAGGAATCCGAAAATGAACCGCAAGGAGGAATGCCTCATTATCACGCGTGATATTTGGCAGTATATAAGCCTGTTATTTTGATGAGATGAGCACAATACGATTCCGTGTGAACTCTATGCGGTTGTTCTCCATGTGACATATTTAGTGGAAGACTCATAGAAAGCGGTGAGTGTGCAAAGACTCTGTGTTCAATGTGATTGAAATTTTGATTCAGCATTTTCTCTGTTTGGTTATGGAGGTGGTTGGCCGGATAGGTTGCTGTTAACTTGACCTTTCCAGGCTCTGAGGAAGGCGAAATCCGCCGAAACGTCAGCTTGTACGTAAATAAAGAAGTAAAATAGCATCTCGTGTTTGCTGAACAGAAGTAGAAAGAACACTTTACATAGTTTATCGCATTGCCAAAAGCTCAAGGTTACTGTTTTCTGCTTTTCCATGATACTTTCGGAACTAACCACGTTACCAGTCAAACTGGTGAAATGAATCTGTTGGTTTAAACATCACCTACAACTTATTTTTGTAATACTTAATTTCGTAATAAAGCACGATCTGCTTCCATTACTCTTTATATTCACAGAAGTTACTGTAACACAAGCATGAAGCAATACGCTCCTCTACAACAGGACTCTGCTATTAGGAATAAGAGAACCACGTAAATATTTTTTTAAGAAATGTTTCATAACATCTTTGCCTTGGATTTTTTGATAACGAACAGCTGTTATAACGGATTGAGGAAGCAACTTGTTGGTCGAACTATAGAGCTAATCGGTTGATCACCTTCGGAATACCATAGCTGCACTGGATTGATTCGATGTGAGTCTTTCCAAATACAGCTGCACTTGTGATGGAAACCAGTCATTGTTTGCAAAAATCTTTCGTTCTAGATGTTTTGGTGTTTCACTCTAGCAAAGTCTGATTTAGTTCATATCCACAGCACAATTTTAAAAATTAAAACATATCATAAAACCTCAAAGAGCTTACCAGGAAATGAAAACAGTTGATTTTCGCACTCATGTAGGAAATCTAAGCGCATGTTGGAATAACACCCAAGGAAGGTGAACGATTGTCAATAAAAACCTGAGAATACTGCTGGACCCGTTTCTATGGACTAACAGGTTCTCCATATCACCTATTACACGTGGACCAAATGAGAAATATTTTGAGATCGCCGCGGTTCTTTATGAAAGGAGACCATTGAACTATAAGAAAATTCGTCTGATTAGAAATGGCGAAGGCAAATACGGCGAATGATGCTTAGCTCTCCTTATGTTAACTGCAACAAGCAGAAAAAGCAAAACAGCAGACGATAAGACTCATCAGCCATGCATCCAGCTTAACTTCGCGCCAACTAAGCCTATTGTCTTCCGAGTTGTCTGCTCCGTGTCACTTTTATGTAACAGAACAGAAACGTGGCTTTGATATATCGATGCCTCTACAGGCTAAATATATATATTCAGCCACCTGTATGATGATAGGAATGGAGTCGAATGCGCATCCCATGGGATTGATCAACTCGGAACTCCCCTTGTCGTATTTTTCTCATAGTTTCTAGAGAATCCCACTGTAACTTTCAAAATTTCTTAGGCGAAAACAGTTTTGTTCTTTAAGCAGCTCACATTAGTTAAAAATTTGAATAGATTTTTACTGATGCTATGAGAATCTGAACATACAAAGTTTGTACACCTGGTTTACTTAGTAATATCATCTATTAGTGATGCTATTCTTGTTTAAATAACCATGGAGATAGGGAAAGAAAACGATATAAAAGGTCATTCAGGTGTTTAGTTCATTTTGTTTCATTTTTCTCACTGTCAAGCTGTTTAAGTTTCAAATGTATGTTTAGAAATGTTTCGTGTTTTCGTACTGATGATGCTCTTCTCTGATGCACTAGGAGCAGATATTGTGGACTTGAACTGTACGCAGTTGGTGGGAGACAAATATAAGGTGTGTGTTTTCGCTCGGAGTAAATTATCCCCGCAAATGAGAACATTGTCGTAGTGGTTTCCTTGATAAGGTAGTGCCGTTATAGAAATAATGCGATAAAATGCTATTTTTCTAAAAAACACTTTTCAAGTGTAGGAACCAGTTCTTTGTGCTCTCCCGTTCGAGAACGAAATTCGCATAGACTATTTTATCAGCAAAACACCTTCGCATTGCATGTTAGCAACTTTAGTCAAGTTTGTGGATTCTTCGTAGGTCGGGTTGTTAAGTAAGTGTGATTTAACTCATTAGGACTTACGCATTTCTTTCGTGTAAGGCAATCAACGGGTGTTCGATAGGGTGCGGTAATGAATTGCTCCGTTATAACTTTCGCTGGAAATATCGTCAGCAATGTAACTTTATTAGAAGCTTTTTTAGAGAGCAACATCAAGTGTCATGTCGGCTTCTATTCTATGACAGCTAGGAATGAATCGCTTGACATAGTTACAGCGAACTCATTCTACCACTAAAAATAATTGGCAAAAACATTGGTAAAACAATGCGACTAGGACTCTGCAATATTTCATTGAATAAGCAAGAACAGTAAGAAATATAGCAGCGTCTTGCTTTTATTTAGTGGATCTTTTGTGTTCTTATAGATATGTAAAGAAAAATTCTTCCTCTGCTGCAGACAAAGTACAAGTAAGGTTCACGAAGTGGTGTAGAACTAAAAAGGCAGCATCTTAAAGACTCCAGAAACGTATCAGACACAATACAGTCAGACTATTCTCCTGGAATAGTATCGACTGTGCCAAATTCTGGTTGCTTATTGCCTTCAATAGATTACAAGGGCTGAAAAAGCATCAAGAATCTTTAGCGGCCGAAATGTCTAAAGAAGTGAGTTTGTTTTAGTACGCTCCTACGGCAGTCAATTGCCAGAATAAATTGCCGGATGATGTCTGCTTGGCACTTTATACAACAGCTGTGAAAGTATTGGATGGTAATGATAGGGATGGCAAATGCTATAAGGAATGGGATTTTTTTTATTTTGCTTTTCTTTGTTTTACTTTTTTTTCATTTTTTTCTACTTTTACTTTTCATTTCAATTTGACCAGACTTTGAAATAAGAATGCTTCCTGGTAGTAATGACTTGAAAGTTTTCGTTCGATGCTATGTGTTACGTTTGTATTAAATTTGTTTCCTGAAAATCTTCCTTACTGGGTAGAAATTTCAGCTTCGAGATAATGTAGATCCAGATTTGGTACAAGCAGCCGTTGATGTTTGTCCTCGGACCTGTGGCTACTGTTGCATCACACCAGAGTTCAGTTGTGAAGACAAACGATGTAAGTTTGCCCCGAAACTGCAGAACATTCATCCTATCTCTTCGTCATTTTTTTGTACTCATCCTAGTCCTGTGTCGTCGTTTGACTTATTAAAAACTCTAAGAAACTTAAAAATAATAATTTTTTACTCATATTCGTGAAGTGAGGACGTTTTTTCTAACTTTGTTTGGTCTATATCTAACCTTTATTAGATAGATTCGCAGACAGATTTATTCGAACAACTAACAGCCTTAATTGGACTTTTACGATTAGAAAGACGTGGATCAATTCCGGCTCTGACAATCTTCGTCGCTTACATGCCGACATAAAACTATAACGAAGAGGAAGTCGAAGCGTTTATATGGACATGGAAAAGTTCTACAAAGAAGACCACACATTCCTCAAAGTCATCACTGAGGATTTCAACACCAAGATAGGACCAAGAAGAACGTTTGAAGAACCTCACACTGGGTGCCATGGATTAGAATGGAACGAAGAGATAGAGCGGCTGACCGAGTTTATCATGACGACCATGAGCATCTATGGTAACTCGTAATTCCAGAAGCCCCACCCTCAGTGCTAGACTTGGGAGCCTCCCAGTGGAAAGGAGAATAACGAAATAGACCACATCATAGTAAATAGAAGGTTTTGCCTAACCGATGTCACTGTTGTCCCAAAATTCTACACGGAATCAGATCATCGTCTCTTTCGTGTAAGATTCTATTCCTCGTGGAAAAATGAAAAAGTCGCGAAATTCCAAACCTGAAGTCCCAGAACCACCGCAAACTGGGACTTTTTCAAGCCGTTAGTCGGCTGCTTGGGAAGAAGCTGTTGTCGATAACATAGACGAAGAAAGAATATGATCGGCTCGTTCAACACCTTCACGTTAGCGCTATGAAAACTGAGAGTTCGAAGGTCACCAAGAGACGTCTGTCTCCAGAAACACTGGAGCTGATACGCCAGCATGGAATCGCACGAGCTGCAGGCTGCCGCGACCGAACGTCCGAACTTGCGAAACAATGCAGACAGGCGATAAAAGAAGGTCTCAAAGAGAGAAGAGCAGCAGCAATAGTCGAAGCTGCAGAGGCTAGAAAAAGCATTCGCAAAACCCACAGAAGCTTCGCCAATTACAAGACCAAAATGATTGCACTCCGGCACTCAGACAGAACAGTTACAACGTCCAGAAAGGCAACGGAGAAAATCATTTACGAATAGTACTCAGATCTCTTCGATACCCACGTCCACCTTCCGTCATAATAAATAAAAGAGAATGTATATGTTGCACCACCGGCTCTCCCTTCCGAAATCCCACATGTCATTTCGTCAATGAAAAATTGAACAGCACCAGATCTGGACAGGATAAGACCAGAACACCTGAGGAACCTTCCGCTAGTTCTCGTAAACACACTGGCTCGGCTCTTCACACATTACCTGTCTGAATGCAAGGTCCCTACTCAGTGGAAAAGCAGCAAGACCGTGTTATTGTTCAAGAAGGGTGACCAACACGATATCGGCAACTATCGCCCAATCTGCTTACTGTCTACCGTCTACAAACTTTTCACTCGAGTCATCCTAAACAGGATTGACAGGACACTAAACGAAGGACAGCCATGTGAGCAAGCAGGATTTCGAAGAGGATTTAGTACGATGGACCACATCCACACGGTAACACGGTCATTGAAGTATCGCGCAAGTACAAAAGACCACTCTGTCTCACTTTCATCGATTTACAGAACGCCTTCGATTCAGTTGAGACAGAAGCAGTCATGGAAGCCCTTGATAGTCGAAGAGTCGCTACTCAGTACATAAGGATTCTTCGTGAGCTGTACAAAAATTTCACAGCCGAAGTATCACCATTGTAAAACGATATTAACATTGACTTCAAAAGAGGGGTCAGGTAAAGCGATACCATCTCGCCAAAGTTATTTACCGCAACCTTCCAGAACGTCATAAACATTGGAATGGGATAATATGGAAGTGATAATCGATGGCCGACAGTTACACCATCTTCACTTTGCTGATGACATCGTTCCTATAACACCAAACATTAGCGAAGCGGAACGTATGCTTGACGACTTTGATAAAGCTTGTAGAAAGATTCGTCTTCAACTAGATCCCACATAAACGATGTTTATGAAGAATGGATTGGTTTTGCATGTCCCGTTCACGCTGAACGGAACAAACATTTCCGAATGCTCCAGTTATATCTATCTAAGTCTGGAAATCAATATGACGAACGATCTTGCTCCAGAGCTGAACAGAAGGAAACGAGCAGCTTGGGAAGCTTTCAAGAGAGTCGAGGATATAGTGAAGAGAACAAAGAACACCCGGCTCCGTGCCCAACTTTTCGACTCAACGGTATTTCCTGCTCTAACGTATGTGTCAGAAACCTGGTCGCTGCGTAAACAGGATGAAAGTTCCCTCAGCGTTATTGAATGCGCAGTCGAAGGGACGATGCTAGGAGTATTCCGTTCCACACAATTAAGGGATGGGATCCGAGGCTCCGATCTGCGTCAATGATCAGAAATCAAAGTCGCCGTTCTGTACGCCAAACAATCTGATAAGGTCGGCCGGACACGTAATGCGTATGAATGACAACTAATGGACAGGAACCGGTTGTGCGGAAGGCCACCGACCCGATGGTCAGAGTTTTTCACAAAAAGCCTTGAAGAAAGATATGATGCTCGACGAGTTCTTATAGAGGAAACAGAACCCACTGGGCTACTCTTGCACGCGTCAGGGAAAAATGGAAGATTTACTGGCGCCCGCTCGAGTCACTCTACGATCAACAGGACTGTAGGTGACTGGTGACAGGTGATATCTAACTCTTATCTATATAGCTATTTTTAGCTTTATTGTAGTATATATTTATCTGCTCATGTGGAAGATTTCATACTTTGCAATTGTTAGTACAATAGATATCGTGTATGAGAACAGAAGTTTCGGAATCAACAGATCGCCAGAAAGGCAGTCCTTGTGCACTAGAATGCAGACCTCTTCGACGTTAGTAACCATTTCTCAATGCACCTAGTGTCTATCGTTTACATTTCTTCACTTATCTCGTTTTTAAAATTATTGAGAAAACGGTGGAAGAAAAGCGATTCATGAAGAAAGGGCTTTGAAAACTTTTCTGAGCAATGGGAAAAGCCGCCTGACAACGACATTAAGTGAGCTTTCGTGAAAGAACGCGACCCCACTTGTTTCAGTTTCAATAACATGAAAAAGACCTTCAATTTAGTCTAGACTAGAGGAATGCTCTGGTTCTCAAGGTTTTCTAATTGAAGATAAAAAGACGCCTCGTGAGGTAGGTACCAACGTCATAACAAATGCATCACAACTGTACAACGACGTTGACATTTCTACGAAGCGATGTCATCTCGTCAAGATTATCTACGGACACACTTGAGAACGGTATCCGTAGATTTGAAGGAAAGAACACGAGAGTCGAAGTCGATGGTCAGCAATTACACCATCTTCGGTTCATAGTGATATTGTTTTCTTTTAAACATCAATCATTAGCCAAGCTGAATAAATGTTGGCCGACTTAGACAACGTTTATGAAAGGTTGGCCTCCGCTTAAATCTAAGAAAAACGATGTTTTTAAGAACTGACTTGTTTCTGATGCTTTGGTCGCGTCCAGAAATGAATCAAATGCTCCAGCGATACGCATCTAGTTCGGGAAGTCAGCATGACTTAGCTCGAAGGATGGGCAGAGGAAATCGAGGAACTCATAGAGCTTTCAAAAACAACGACGACACAGTGAAGATGATTGAGAACACTCGATTCTGTGCTCACCTCACAAACTACACGAACATTTTTGCTTAACAGACGCGTTGGAAACCTCTTCATTGCATGAGGTGGATAACAAATTCACTCAGCCCTATTCAATGTGGACGCAAGATGGCAATTCTGGGATTGTAGGGTACGACGCAAGCGAGACGGGGAATACAAAGTTCGGAATAACGTCAGTGACAAAAGTCCAGAGACTCAAAATGTTGAAAGCCAAATAGGCCTTACAAATGATGCGTCGAAATTGCAAACGGTAGAGAAGTGCCGTTAGCAAAGGCTTTCTATGGGTTCCCAAGCGCATGGGAAAGGCATCAAACCGGTGATCAAAATTCTCCATGAAAATCTTAGGAAAAAAATAATGCCCTCAGCAACTCCGTAGAGACAGAACTCACTGAGCTACACTTTTATACTATACGAGAAAACGGAGAATTCACCGGCTTCCACTTGAGTTACGACCAACTGAGGTCTGATTGTGTAAGTGACACAGGTATGATAATAAATCAGACTTCATTGTTTCTTACAAGACATTTCTTATGAAGAGTCGAATAGATACAAATTGTTTTGCAACATAAGAAACAGGCTTCCCGAAAACAATATGGCAGATCAGTTTAGTAATTCCACCTGTGTAATAACCGTAATTACGGGATAAATAGAACAGTGGCAATCATTTCGAACATCACGAGCATGGTGGTGATCCTATCCCACTTGGAACTCGCCAAGGCTTTTATCACCGTAGGATCAGGAAACTAGTATCCGATCTGTCTGGAAAAATCACATTTTCTGCAGTCCAAGCAGGAACGCTCTACTTCAGCCGTCTCGGGATTCCTCCAGGGAGAACCGACTCGACCAGCATTCAAGGACATTCATGATGAAAGGAAAATTGTCAAACAGCACCTGATGCCATACATAAAAGATTGGAAGATTTTGGTGGATATAGGTTGCGAGGAAACGAATCGAATGGGAGAAGTGCTGTTATTCGTAGAGTGGATGTGAAAAACTGTTCACAGTCGTGGTCATGTAAAAAAAACAATCTTTAATACTCACGGCATGTTCCGCTCACATTGGAAATCTTTTTATGTGTGACACAGAGTGCTTGCTTTCTGTGGAGCAAAGAACTTTGCGATTGCGTTCTCGAATTCGAACAATCAAGATAGTGCCATCGTAGATGGTCTATAGAAACATTTGCGACGCGATTGTTGGAGTGGAATGAATGAACGAATGCGAGTAGTCCGAACATGCGATGTTCTCGTAGCACCCTCGATTATAGTGTGTTCAATGTGTGCTAATTGATCTATATATTCTCTTTTAGGAACAAACCTTGTGGTTTATAAAGATGTAATTCTTTTCTCAAAAGAATTTTCGACAAATGAGTTTGCACAATACGGGTTATTCGAATGAATGCTACAGAGTGTTAGACCCGTTTCACCTCTATCACCTTCAATCTCTTCAGTCGACAGGTAACCCAATTGGAAAGGAGTTAACTCCAAGTACTCTGTAGGTGTCGCGCCGCTCGAGCATACGAGCATCGCAGTTTAGTTGCGAACCCCATTGTAATCGTTATCGCGAAAATGACCAAAGGCGCTCCACTGCGCGTTACCGTCGAAGCCTTTGGATGAAAATTTTGAACTCCTCTCTATCTACAGAAATCATTAAGGAGTAATCAGTATAACTCTCGGCTATACAATGCATCTTGACGACAAGGAATACTAACAGCCATGATGAGGTAGCAAAATATTTTGTTGTTGGCGTATATCCAAGATGAGAAAGTAGTCTGGTGAGATCAAAAGAGTTCACTTGAGATGTTCGAACGTATTCACCAAGTCGAATGGCCAAGGAGTCGAGTTTAACTTACGGATTTATGCTAACCGAAACGAACAGAATTCATAAGAGTCGCAAAAATTTCTGAACAGCGTAATCTTTCTGATATCATATTAAGATAAAAGCAGCAGGCTTTAATGCAGCCGTATACCTCCAAGAGGTTTGCTAACTTTGTGCGGCTTTTCCCAAGTATTGGTTGAATCGCTTAGTAAGAGAGCAAACAATAGCAAATATTTCTATTGCGGCCGCATCTCGTATTGGGAAGAGATACAACAATTTCTGCTGAATGGGATCCATTATAGAAGTACCGTATTCATATTGTTAATTCTAATGACTTTTTATAATTTCAGTTCCAAGCGTTATGTGCTCCAAGGTAACACCTGATATGTGTGCTGCTCCTGCCTGGAAGCCAGTTTTGGCAGAAAACTGCTTGAAAACCTGCGGATTGTGCACGGATGCTTCAGGTTAGGTTTCAACATAGAAGTTCTTATCTTGTTCTTTAAGCATTTTGGCTGCTAACCTTTGTTTTTCGGTGGTTGTGCTGACAAAATCAAATACTGTAATAGAGATCCTACCATTTGTGGGCAAGTGAGTATGCAGGCGTTTGTAAAGGTATGTAGTGGTATTTCATATCCTATTGAATTCATCGCTTTATTCATGGTAGGGTACTATGTGGAAAAAAATCATAAGCACGTCGAGATATTAGGAAAACTTGGATCCTCAGTTGGGCTTCGAACCCAACAGTCGCGCTTACATGTGGCTCACATGCTGTCCACCGCCACAGCGAGCCCATTGCTTTGCCATTCGCCCGGTGAGGGTAAGCGCGAGGTCGAAGCCCAGATGAAGTTCTGAGTTTTTCGCATATCTAAGCATTCTTGTGGCTCTTTTTCACGTCGTGCCTTAAAATTAGAAAGGAATAGGCAGTAAGTAAACATTAAACCAGTGTTTTTATCATTTTCACCTAAATTAACCTTTGAGGAAATCTGAGGAGCGATTCTGCTTTTTTTAAGGAAAATTGCAAAAGAACTTGCGGATTCTGCCAAACCGTGACCAGCCAAACCGTGACCACAAGGTCTCCCGTGGCAGGTGGGGTCCTTTACTGCAAATGTTTTCGTTTCTAAACGGCGGTAGGCCATTGAAAGCGCTTCTGAACAGTTGACACATTTCTTTTAGTAAGTAACAAATGCATCTTACATTAAAACTGATATTCTTGACGTCTTAAATTTTTCACCCACGTCTCCAACACAAAAAAATTCGTTACTTGTAGTGCTTACAAAGCCAGATCGTCTATTATGATAAAAATTAATTCCCACTTTAAGTGAAGAAATTTCAGGTCCGTGTGGAACAAATCCAAAGTGAGTTCTCTAGTTTCGAGCGTTCGGGTCAGAAAACCCTTCTGGGTTGGTCAGACACCAGTCTGAAATGGTCAGACACCAGTCTGAAATGCGTGCATCTTCAGATGTGTTAACTGGGTTCGAAATGGTTTCTGCACAAACAACTTCTACAGCCTTGAGCAAAAGAGACAGTTTTGTGGAAGAGAGTGCAGATTGTGCTAGCAAACGACGATGTCCTAACTTCATCGAAAAGACGAATGCCGTGACATTGCTTGTCATCACCATGATAATTCCTTGCAAGCAAAGACTATTGTTTAAATACATACTGTTCTTAGCCATAGAGGTGCAACGTTTTGAACTGGAAGAAATTTAGGTTAGATGATAACAAAAGATTCATGCATAACAGCCTGCCTTGCACGTACATGATGCAACGATATCCCTATTAGCACCATTCGATACGAGTATGCATTCATATATTCATGCATAAATCACATCCATACATACATTCACACCTCATTTTCTATTTTTTAGTCATCTGCCAAAACAGGTTTTTCATGCGAAGGTCTCCGAGCAAATTTTTTCTTTGAGCGTGAGTTCGTGTTCTGTTTCAGGATTACCGTCTTCTTCATGAAGGTCGTTGAATGTTGATCCAGTCAATTTATTTATACTCCTAGGATAGTCGGGTTAGATCGTTCCCATTTTGACCGCGAAGAGTTGACTATTCCCAAATAAGTATGGGGACAATTTTTCGATATCGCATAAGAGGCTTGATGAGTCCGGGCTGTGGTCGGACCAAAACCTTTCTTGTGATAAGCGATTTCACCACTGCCGCTGCGCTACTCGTCCTCTAAATGTAGGGTATAAAATGAAAGTTGGAAATATTTTTACAAATTTCCTCAGTAGTTTTCTATCTTATTAACCGTCTGATTTCGTTGTATGAAATTCAACAACAGACTAACTTGCTTAAAATCGAGGTGTTTTTGGTTTATTATTAAACTTAAGCATTAGCTACTTCTGGTCAGACTCCGGGCAGATTGATTTGTTTTCGATGAGCTGTCAAGTGAATACAAAAAGTTTACCAAGAGCGTTGAAAAAAGTATGCTTCGCCTACTCCGATTGTCAACGTGCCCACTGAGTTTTAAGTGTTTTAGGTGCGCTATCAGATTTCCATCCGGTTTAGAAATTCACTAAAGAAATGGATATGGAACTCATTCAAGTCTCTTATAATGTTTCAAAAAAGCATAGTTGACGATAATGTGACCGTCTAGTGGGATTGAAGAAAATCCTCTTGATTTTATCCGTACTAATGCTGAGATATTTGCAAAACTCCGGACCGCAGGTGTCTGCGGTGACGAACGAACGCGCTGCTACCCTTTCCGGAGCATAACGCGTTCACCACCACACCATGCGGGTACACCGTTTCGCATGTCTCTCAGCTAGTTTTCTATCGATCAGTGCCATCAGCAATCACTCGCCAACAGGACTGATCTAGGAAGCCCAAACCGGCGACGAGTTTTGCAAATATATCAGTATCATTGTGGTTGTTCCACACGTAACATCCTGCCATAAAAAATTATGATAGGCAGTATATAAAAAGTTAACATTGTGATTTGTCTGCGCTCTTCGTTCCATCTGGTCATGTTTATTTCTACCAGCGAGCGGTCGCATGTGATTTCTTCTTTTGATTTTTGAAATACTGCATCTTTAAATCGCCACAATCATGTTTGCAAGCTCATCGAAAAGCGTTTTCTCAGATGTTGGTGAAAATTCAGTACATTGATGAAGGACGTTCAGGTGAACTCATTATGAATTTGGATTAACCGTGCTACAATTTGGCTTAGTAATAAAATAAGCTGTGTTAAGGATTCCCAGCCTAAAAATTCTTTGTCACTTTTTTTTATTCTTTTGAGGCTATGCTTTTGAGTGCTGTACAAGCAAATCTGTGTTTTCAGCTTTGATCTTATTCTGCCCTTATGTTCAATTACAATCGGGTTCTGATCAATTTCGCTGCAATTTGGAATCGCTCAAACTATGGTCTTGGAAAACTAATAATAATAAACTCCAAAAGTCTTCTAAACCGAGCATGATATAACTTGTTACTTGATACATGAACGGCCCGTCCTTACTAGTTGTGCGGGCCTCAGCATAATCACCATTTTTTCGGAGATTTGCTGGTTAAATCATTGTGGTTCTCTGGAATCTCAAAGACAGGCTGGCCAAAGTCTGCCTCAGGTTGTCACCACCACAGGCAGTCGCCGCCCTTGTGGATCAAAGGGGGATTTACCACCATGCGACTTTGATACCAAGACGGTGGTGGAACCTGGTATTGGTTTACTCTTAGTTGGGCTTTCTTACGGAAAATCCGGACTCCTCAGCTGGAGAGACCCTGCCAGGGGATGAATCTTACCGCTGTGTATCGCAGTCCAACACCTATAAACACCTTCCAGCCACGATGAAGCGGTAAACCGTTGGGAGGTCAGCCCACGTCTCTACTGCATAGCAGAGATTTGGAGGAGTGTTGAATCGAAAAGGTGAGCGCGGAGTTTTGAGTGCTTTATTGCTTGAGAGCCTTTTTGAGAGCATCGAATGCAGCCCGCCTACACTGTTCCCCTTGTTCTGTCTAATTTCTAGTTCATGTTGCTCTTCATGTTCATTTGAAGTATGCGCAGAAGGTGGTCTCTGCAATCTGTGAACCATCCATTTTGACATGTTCGCCTTCGAATAGTGGACTTTTTAAGCACTAGGTCTTTTTTCGACTTTTGCGTGCTCCGATCTACTTTTCCCGCTCCGTTGAGCTCATCGATCATCGTCTCTGCTTCGTTGGTATTTCTTGAGAAGATGGCGATGTCATCGGCGAAACGAAAGGTTGATAGAAAGTTTTCATCAAAACGTAAGAATATCTCATTCCAATCGCTTGCCTTTTTTATCTACTGCTGAGGATAGTAGCAGTTAATGCTTTAACGAGACGGTATCGCCTTGCCTCACCTTCGCTTTTAAATCGATATCGAAATAATTATAACATGGTGATATTTTAGCTGCGAAATTTTCATACACCTAACGAAGAATCTCTATATACTGAGCAGGGACTTCTTGGCTCTCACGACTTCCATGACTTTCCAAGACCTCAACTGATTCAGGAGCAATATTTTAAAAACCTACTTCTCCTTAGTGTTTTTAACCCGAGGTTAAAGTCAGTTTTCAAGATATTGATTCGCTATGTACTAGCTGACATGATAGCCACTTCTGCAGTATGGATTATCCGTTATAAAACAAACTATTGTCAACGGGCTGTCATTATCATTAACAGTCAACCTGTATAGAAAAGCATGGCCTGGCGAAGTTCTTTCATTCGAGCAGTGGTACACCGAAAAAAAAATCGACTCAATACGACGACGAAGAGACTCAAGGGAAGAACCATGGACTCGGATCATCGGCTCTCAGAAAGGCGATAACGCCGAGACATTTTCGTTTTTTAACTTGGAAGCCTTCTCCGCTTTTTTCCTTTCGTAAGAAATGTTGTCTTTCAAAAAGGAAGTGGTGGTCCGATTTCGTGCAGAACTTCGGAAAAACAGTGACATCGGTTATACAAAATCGTCGATTTACTAAGATGTGGTCTACTACGTTGTGCTACTCTCCACAAGAAGACCGACAAGTCTAGCGACGAGAGGGTATCCTGAAATCGAGAGTTACCAGGAATGGTGTTGGCCGTTACAATATCGTTACAGTAATCTCAAACAGCCGCTCACTCTTCTCGCTTCAGTCTAATCCGTGGATCCATATGACGTTCTTCACATGTTCTTCTGTGCCCAATGATAGAATGGAAATCGCAATAATGCTCTTAAAACATGTATGGTCTTCTCAGTGAAACTACTCCAAGCGCATGCACAAGGCTTTGACTTTGTCTTTATCATAGCCTTAAGGCAGTACGCAGATGACGAGAATTCCCAAAGTCGGTATTGTTCTAGATTTTTCCAACCCTAGTAATCGGATTGGGGCTGTTAGTTGTATATAATGCCGAGATATTTGCAAAACTCCGGACCGCAGGTGTATGCAGTGGGAAACGAACGCGCCATTACCCTTTCCGGGGCTAACTCGTTGACCACCACACCATGCGGGTCCTTCGTTTTGCCTGTCTTTCAGGTGTGGTGGTGAAGTGCGCTACTCCCCGGAAAGGACAATAGCGCGTTCGTTCCCCACCGCATACACCTGCGGTCCGGAGTTTTGTAAATATCTCAGCATTATATACGAGTTATATTTCGCAATATACCCTGCCATTAAAAAGAAGAAGGCAGCAAATAAAAGGGTTAAGGCTGTTAGTTGTTTTAATAAATCCATGACGAACCGAAATGAATACGAACTTGTACTTAGAACGCCGACGCTGTCGCATCCTTTGATGTCGTATGCTTCTAAGAACAGTTCTTCGCCGTCACGGTCGACGTTGGGTGGGAGGCGTCTTCTCGTCTCGGCCAGTTCGATGACGTCGTACTTTATTCTTCTTGCCTGCACGAGGACTCAGATGCGAGTTGGCGTGCATCGGTACAGATCGTCACCTTGGTACATCGAGATTTAGGCAGCTTAGGATGATTCTGAGATTTTCAGCAGTCTTTCCCTGCTCAGCGTATCCAGAGCGGTCGTGTCTGCACATTATTCGGGGAAGCGACTCCTTACTACCTCCCACAAACTTCGCTATAATTTTATTCTAGACTTTTGGCCTAAATGACTTATTGAATAGAACGTGGTGCAAACAAGAAGATATTGGGGTCCATCCCCTGGATCCAACTGCGTTTCAGAAGACCGCAATGTCGCTTTTGGTCAGCGATTAACCACCTATGCGCTACTTGGGATGCACCACGTTGTTTAGCGACTAACCAACAAATCTTTTTAAGCAGACGCGAGGTTGGTACAGTTCTTCGTTGTCGTTGTCGTTGTTTTTGATGTTGTTGGTCGATGGCTGACGTTTCGGTGACTTCGCCTTCCTCAGAGCCTGGACGTATTTAATGTTAGAATAGTTCTTATTATTCGGTGGAAAAAAAAGGTTAAAGTGTTAACGAAGATCAAACTTTCAAATAGACGCCATATTAAACAGAAAGGCCACTCACCGTGATGTTACATGCGGGACTGGCCCACACGTAGTTCACGTGGAGTCGCAAGCAAGACACGCCCCGGGGTCAAAATATCATTTTGAAATAGGGCGCCAGGTCACGCGTGATAGTGAGGTTCCTCTTTGGATTTTTGAAATTTATCCAAAACGCCTCAAGAGTTTTGCGCGTTGATGTTTTTGATTCCTGCGCTCAGATCCACGCAATCACTTCAAAATCATCGCCGTTGTGCTCTTGTGCCCTATGCGTACCTAGAGGAGTGTTTGAACGGGTTTCAGCTTTTCCACCTAGATGTTCTTATATGCGGACACGAAGTGGTTTACCCGCTTCCCCAATATATTTCTCGCCGCATGCACTACATGAGATCAAGTATGTTATACCTAAACTCATGCAATTCCCATCTCTCCCGTTAGGGCAGGTCATACAGTTTTCTGAGCTGCACAAACGATCATAGAGACGGTTTCGAACTAAGTGGCGGCGTAGGATATTGGGTGGGATGTCAATAATCGTTACATAATTTTTAAGACCACTTTTCTTAAGCACTTTTTAATGGCGTGACTTACTTCATTTGATATGAAGGGTAGCTTAAAGGAATCCCACTTTCGTCTGAAATATTATTTTGGGAAACTACCTAACGTTTTCCTTCTACTTCGTAGCCGTTTTTTGTTTTTGTTTGTTCATACCTGTTTATATCGTAGTTGTTTCTTACATCTGAAGTAGCATTGATTTTATACACTTTTTCCTCGTAGACCACTTGTTGCGCAAGCGCGCGAAAATTGGAGAGGAAAACGAAGAAGCTATCTATGCTGTTGGTGTCGCCATTTAATGATGCTGTGTGGGTTACTGGACCGAGAACTCTCACACGAAAGAGAACAACAGCGGAATAAACCGATCCGGGTGATTTGATTCACAGAGAAGGTAACATTCCGAATCTCTATTTATATTTACGTATCCCATTTAATAGATTATTTTGCAGATGGCAACGTTTATATTCATTGCAGTGAACAGTATTAAGCAATCTTTTATACTTTTTTGGTTTTCGGCTAGAAAATTTCATTAAGAAACGGTTCACAGATGCTTACTCGTAGTTGATAGTTATCTTTCTGAATGACATACATACATTTTGAGCTACGACATCTGTGTTGAAGACATCGTCTAGCTTAAATCCGTAAAAATCTGACAGCTCGGTTACTGAGGAAATTAACATCAGCACCTCAGAAAAGCACGTTATCAATTTGTCCCAACTTTGGTGATCAAACTATATTTTATTGATGCGCAGACGAGAGGTTATTATAAATAATATGTATTCAGCAGTGAGGAACATTTCAGTGCTTTTCTCTATTCTGAATCCTGAACAAGGTCAAATTGTCAGATCGCCTACTTAACGAAATGCTTCTATAAATGAAACAAACAGGATTCGATACCTACATTTCAAGTACATCACTTCTAAAAATATCCAAGCACTCTACTACGCAGTAGAAATACGGATTGACACACACGGGTGTTGCACCATTGCATTCGACGTATGTCCGGTGAAGATTAATAAACGCATTAAATATCAAGCCGGTCTTCGTAGTCTATCCTATTTGTGAAAATCCATATTTTAAATACAACGGAATAACTACAAGGAACCAATATTACTTGTGAATCACATATTGGAATTGATCTCGAAAAGAAAATCACTAGATCCTCAACATAGACCTCTTTGAAGATATTCCAATGTTTTTGTTAACAAAATCACTTGATCAATGCCGAGGTTAATAGAAAGTCGGTCGTGGCATATTCCAATGTGTTTCTTAAATGAGTAAATCAGCTAAGCTCACAATTGCAATAAGTTTGTAGATCTCGAGAACGCATCCGAATTTGTTCAAAAAGCAGTTAAAACTGAGATATATTCTAACAGGCTTAAAACGTTGTGCTAGAAATGGATGATTAAATGGAAAATCTTGTGAATAGTTTAGGTCACCTCATCAGTTTTACTCAAGATGATCATACCACGGCAAGCGATGTTTAGCGACGTATTATAGAACAGATGAGTAATTATACTTTAACTTATATACACACGTACATACATGTTTATTTATGTATAAGTTAAAGTATACACATTTACTAGACGACTTTTTAGAACTAAACACTACTATGTAAAATAGCAACCAATACCTCTGCTGCGTGTTGCGCAGTCGTCGGAGGAGGCCCGCACCACACGCATGTGATCGCTCGCCGCGCACCTGGCACACCAAGCCTTCCATCCCTCCGAGGTCGGCAAATTGGTCCCAAACTCGTTTAGGAGAATAGTTACACAGGCTCGATACATCGGTGTGCCACTGCGAGTTTTTGTAAAGGCTAAATATTCATTCAATCACCTCCAAACTATGCTCGATAATGTCGAATGCATGGCCCATCGCTCAGGGAACGATCAACATCGAGAGCCTTATCCTTTATCCTTTTACCTCCGACATCTTTTGTGGTATTTTTTACTCATTAACTCGAAGAGACAGAAGTGAAGTTTCTTTTTCGCTTTGTCACTGATTAAAGCGCATTTATGGGAAATTCTTAATGACCTCTCACTTTTTGTTCAGTCAACATTGTTCTCAATAGACATTTTTGAAGAGAACACTGTTTGAAAATCATAAAAAAAAGTTGTTAAACTGTGAATAAAGGGAAGGAAATTCGATATATGAGGAAGCCATGATGAGACGGAAAGAGGGTAGAAGTGGTGGTTAGCAAATTTTAAAGATGGCAGAGGACAGCAGAGGACACAGGTAGTACTTACAGCGCGACATTTCGTTCTCTCGTTTTTGAGGTTACCGATAAAATATCTACTAAAATCTGTCGTGTGCTCATTCTTTTGTAGCTGTAAGTATCTGGTGAAAGGTCCTGCTCTCGAACAATAGGTTCAATCCTCATCAATGACTCGAAGCTGAGAAGTCTAGTTTATTCAGCAAACAGCTTCAACTAGATGACGATTATTTCATCACTTCCAAAGAGATGAAAGTTTTACGATTCTTGTCAAGGGGAAAAAAGCCTTCCTAAAATAAAAATTATTATATGCATGAAGTGGTATTCTGAATTCTAAAGGTTTTATATAGGAATGTCCTTCAGAGCTACTTTACATTCTTGGCTTATTACCAAGCTGAAAAACATTCGTGTGTAATATGAAGAGAATGCCGAACTAACCACAGCTTTTTCATCAGGTGACATGTAGAAACCTGCGTCCGTTTCCAGAAATGAGTGAAAGATTAACCTGCCGTTTTCATCAACATATGCATTAGATGGCGGCTCAACTGGTTCACCGTCCTTGAAAACAATTAAAACTCAAAGAATAAAGCGCTCGATGATGACCAATTCATAAAGGATGCAATCACCGGTGGAATGGAAGGTTTGGTGAACCCGAGGTGTGGAATGGAATCGATCTCTGACCACTATGGTAAACGTACCGCCTCTGAGAACAATACTGATGGAGAACTAACACTGGGAAATCTGTCATAGCGCAGGATATAATCCAGTGTCCATGTTAGATAAGTTGATCGAAATAGATTACGCTTGTAGTTGGCGAATGGTGTGATTCAACACTGCTTTTGTAAAAAAAAAAATTTGACCGACTCCATGGAAAAGTACCTCACATCGTTAACAAATCCTTGGCAACTTTCTTCTGTTTCAAATTCTGAGCAGTGTCTGATAAATTCATCTGTTTCATAGTCGCGAACACGTCTCCATCTGCTCACATATTGTCCAATGTCAAGAACAACTCGTTGTCCAACCTTAAAGATCCGTTGAAACTATGCCGAGAAAAAAAAACTGTTATTGAACAGATCTGTAGTGTTGACTTGACATACTTCAGCTTTTTGGATCCTAGTTTCGGCAAGCACGTAATAAATGAGAAATGCAAGAAGATATTGGGTTCGAAGCATCTGCAAATACACATTCAGATATAATGCGATGATGGACTGGTGAAGGTACGGCAAAGGTTTACAAGGAGAAGCCAAGTGCATCCAAAACTCCGTTTAATATCGCAAAACATCAAATGATCCAATGCGCTCTTTGTCTGACACCCTTCTTCAGCACCACTCGATACTCGTCGTGGGTTCGAAGTTATTAAATTATAAAAAACATGATTGGAAAACAATGTGTAGTCGGCAAGGAAGAGGACAACACTTTTCATAGAAAGTAGGATTATAAGGGAAGGGTTGGGGAGGGAGGAGGTGGAGACTTTAAGGGACAAACCGACCTAAACGGGAAGAAAAGGAGTAGATGACGAAAAAACAACCATTCAATTGAAACGTACAGATAACACTAATTCATTTGTAGGGTAGTCATATTTTATCCAACTGCTACGTTGTTGTGACGTGGCACCACGAACACGCTGTTCATTCTCAGTGACACCCAGCGAGAGGTTATGGGTAACGCTATCAGAAGAACAATGCAGTCGGAAGACATCGGACATATTGTTGAAAATCACCATTCAGATACTTGACGACTGATCCGCTCGTGCTGCAGAAGAAAATGCGCCTAAAACGAAACAATGCGAACATTTGTAACTTTCCTATATCGTCTCTGCTTGTCGGGAAGGTGAAAATGTGTCCTACAACGACTTTTCTCGCTTTTCTTACCTACTCAACAACAATGGCATGTAAAAGTGCGTAAATTGAGCAATTCTGGTGCAACTGAGTAACCATGTACAGAGGAGGAAATTTCTCAGGAGAGAAGCGAGTTGTGCCATCCGTTGCGATAGCAGTCAGATATAGCTTTCGTGCACCACAACTGCAACGGTTGATCTGTCGTGAAGGTTTCAAATTTGGTTCAGCAATGCGAATACCTTTTCTAACTAGCAAGAGTTTTTGCAACAACGTGGATTACACTCAAACGTACTCATTTGGAAACTAAGTAGTTCATACGGTAGTTGGAACAACACAGTTCCCTTACATGTCCTCTAAAGCTTTTGCGACGAATAGACGAACAACCATCGGATATCGGCTTAAGAAGATCTGCGAGAGCCGCTTTCAAGCATACTCATGGCGACTTTTTTGTTGGGGTTCATTAGTAGTAGTGTTTAGTGTGTTGCGACTTCGGTAAAGAATAAGACGTACGGTGTTGGTCGCTCCCTAAAGGAATTACCATGCATTCGGCTTAATTCAGCATCCTTAGAAATAACTGAATGCGTATTTGGCTCGTAAATTGACAGGCATTGGCACAGCTGCCTATCAAGTCGCTGCGTATATTGTTGCACAACAACCATGGTAGCAATATTCCGACCCCGGAGGGCTGGATAGCTTGGTGAGCACAGGGTGCGGAATAGAAAGAGCCATCGATACACTGTCCGACCACTTGGTCTCGTGATTGATTATGCAATATAATTTTTTAGATTGTTGAGCTAACACGGAGTTAATATACAGCATTTATTCGGCTGACGTTTCGACGGCTTCGTCTTCTTCAGAACCGGATTGATTCAAACAATTGTTGGCGGTCAATCGCCCTCGTGATATGTGGCTTCGTTGTCGGATCCTCTAGAGTTCTCTGGAGTAGGGCATTCATAGAATGAAATTTTTTTTCACTCGGCGGGCTATCTGAACAAAGTGGTCGTTGATCTATCGCCATCCATTTCGACGTGTTTCCATGTTGACAACAGGAATGACAAACGTCTCGAGGACGAACGGCTGTTGACGACGAACTCAGGTCAATGCGGCGTTTAAGTATGAGAGGACGCCAAAACGTTGGTCTAATAAAATTTTCTGCCATCCTCATCTTAGAAAGCTTAGCAGTCTAGGAAAAAAATTAAATTCTTTCTACTTCTGTTCAGCAAACACCACGACGTGCTATTCCACTTCCCCACTCACGTAAAAGCTGACGTTTCGGCGACTTCGCCTTCCTCAGAGCCGTGATGAGAACCGTGGACGCTTCATGTGTGAAATACTAATTGGCATATCACATTATGAAATAGGATGACAATTACTCGAAAGACCGACTTTCTATAAACCTCGGCATAGATAGTTGATATATTTATTTATGCGATCCTATAAACTGATCATCTTAAGCTGACGCGAGGTTGGTACAGATCTTCGTTGTCGTTATCGTTGTTTTTGATGTTATTGATCGATGGCATCGCCTTCCTCAGAGCCTGGACGTACTTTATGTTAGAATACTTTTTATTATTCGGTGGAAAAGAAGGTTAAAGTATTAATGAAGATCAAAATTTCAAATAGACGCCATATTGAACCAAAAAAATCTTTTGGAAAATCCAAAGATGAACCGGAAGGACGAATGCCTCACTATCACGCGTGACCTGACGCCCTATTTCAAAATGATATTTTGACCCCGGGGCGTGTCTTTCTCGCGTGAACTACGTGTGGGCCAGTCCCGCACGTAACATCACGTTGAGTGGCCTTTCTGTTCAATATGGCGTCTATTTGAAAGTTTGATCTTCATTAGTACTTTAACCTTCTTTTCCACCGAATAATAAAAAGTATTCTAACATTAAATACGTCCAGGCTCTGGAAGTCGCCGAAACGTCAGCCATCGTTCAATAACATCAAAAACAACGACAACGACAACGACAAAGAAGATCTGTACCAACCTCGCGTCAGCTTAAGAAGATCAGTTTATAAGATCACATAAATAAATATATCAACTATCTATGCCGCAGTTCATAGAAAGTCGGTCTTTCGAGTTATTTTTCTTTCGGTTTTTTTCGGGTGAACTTGATATACTCTGACTGTGTGTTCAACAACTCGAAACACTTGTCCATTTCCTCTTGTGTTGAGCAAAGGGCAAAGCAGTCGTCTACATACCTACAGTAGAGTAGCGGCCCGAGATCAATCATCGGTGCTTCCACCTTAGACATAAACGCAATGGCGAGACTTGGTGCCAGTCGTTGTCCCATTGCCAACCCTTTTATTTGAGCGTAGTACTTTCCGGACCATTTGAAGATTGAGCAGCTCAAGCATTCTTTTAAGAGTGCCATCAACTGCTCTATCTTGAAGCCATACGTGTTTATTTCTCTTTCGTGTTGTAGTTCGAATATGGCTTGCATTGCAGAGTCATTCGACACGTTTGTATCACGCCTGATATTAGGGAAGTATACAAACCTGTTATTCTGATGGGAGGGGCACATTACGCTTCCATGTGAATTTTGTGCGGTTGGTTTCACACAACATACTCAGTGGAAGCCTCATAGAAAGCGTGGTTATGAAGGTGTTTGGCTGAACAGGTTGCTGTCGACGTGACCTTTCCAGGTTCTGAGGAAGACGAAAGCCGCAGGAATGTCAGTTTTACGTGAGTGGGGAAGTGGAATGGCACTTCGTGTTTTCTGAACAAAAGTGAAAGGAATTGTTCAATCAATGCCGAGGTTAATAGAAAGTCGGACGTAGGAGTTACTAAAAAATTAAATATTTATCCCATGGTTAAATGGTACTCAGTTCCAAAAATTATATCGCAGGCTTTTCAAATATGATTGATATCTTGAACATGGCCAAGAATTCCAATGTTCAGATTTAGTCAGCAAATTCATTCAAACTCACCTCTTTCTACAGTAAAAAAAATGTGTGCAGTGGTTAAATGTATGCTGCCCACTCACATGGACAATGGTTCGACTCCGCACATAGAGCTCACTAAGCCTTAAATCTCCACAAGGATAGCGACACATTGCTCCTAGTGTTGTGTGAGAGGATGGAAGGCACTGGTTTGATAGATCGATGGGTCTCCGTGATCCATTATATAAACCAAATGTGCATTTAATTACCTTTAAGCTGGCTCTTTAATTTAAAAGTGAAGGTGAAATTGATGAGGAGATAAAAAAAAATGAAATTTATGAAAAGTATGCATGCTGTGGTGAAATCTGAGAACTATTCATGACAGACCACTGAAACGGTTGTGAAAATGCTTTCGTTGTTTTTTATAATAAAGACACAAATTGCGCCAATTAGTTTCCTCATACTTCCGTATAAGCAAGCAATAACGTCAACACATAGCATTTTAACTAGAAATGCGTTTCAATCGCAGGTTAGGTAATTGTTTTCTCATAGTGTTTAGTTTTTGATTTACTGCCTACTACAATTTTCGCGATAGAACATTATGCGAAATCAACCACGGCGATGCCGAGATATTCACAAAACGTGGGACCGGGAGCAGATCGAGCCACGATTTCTCTTTCTGGTGGCTCACGCGTTACACATTACGCCAAGGAGACGCTTGCTCTGCGTTTCTCGCATCTAGTTTTCTCTCTACCAGCGCCTTCAGCAATCACCCGTTGAGAGAAAGACCTGAGAGAAACGTATAGCAAGGAAGAACCTCCTTGGCGGAGTGTGTAATGAACGAGCTCGTGGAAAAGGAAATCATGGTTTTATTTGGCCTGGAATCCAACTTTTGTGAACATTTCATCATCGCTGTGGTAGATAACGCATAATATCCTGTCGTGAAAATTGTACTAAGCAGTAAATAAAAAAGTAAACATTGTGGTTTCGACTGCAGCCTCAGCTTAACTGGGTTTATTACCAGTTTGTGCTCCTCATGTCAATCCGGTTGTCGGGTGATTGCTGATGGCACTAGTAGACAGAAAACTAGTTGAGAGAAACACAGAGCAAAGGTCTCCGAGGCGTAGCGTGCAATGCGCGAGTCCCCGGAAAGAAAAATTGGAGTTCGATGTGGCCTGGGTCTAGGTTTTGCGAATATCTCGTCATCGTTGTGGTTGTTTTCTCAAATTTCGGTGTTACACTGTTTCAGGGTCAGTTGCTCAAAAACTGCGTTCGCGTTTGTGTTTTGTTTGCTTTGTTGTGAAGATATCCTCAATCATTTTGTGTACGCGAATGCCTCCGATTTATTTCAGGCCGTCTCTTTTGTTTTCACGTGTTTGAAAAACTTTCAAAGATAATAGCATGACGTCAGATATGCCAACCCGCATGCTGCAGCGTGGCAGACTCCAGGCGGGCTCTGGTTCGCCAAATATTCATCTCTTTTGATTCCTGAATTTGAGCCGGATTTGGTCTTCTAATGATTATAACAAATTAAACTACATGGAAATAATAACAAAAACTGAAGATGCGTGAAAAGTTCCAATGAATACGAATATACCATTTTCACCAAGAGCCAGAGCAATTTCCATAACTAACATTGTTCAAACAATTTCTCGAATCCATTGAATGAAATGTACGCGGTGCAAAAAAAGTGGCCTCCATCAAATTAATACTGGCATGTCAGGGCTCACACTGAACATTGTTGATTCCAGTTAAAACATAGAACCTATAGATCTTTACTTTGGAAGTGTAACCTGTCTTATTTAACCGAGATGAAAGACTGGTTTTTGGATGTGATGACACATAGTTCTCCCACCGTTTTGTGTCAGGGCTTCTATTTCAAATACGGAAGTGATTGAACGAACGGGATTTCGCTCACCAAAACACTTAGTGCTTCTGAGTGTACCGTTTAGTGTTTGTAGGTAACGCTCATCTGTTGAAAGATCTGAAACGTAAAATTTTTTCTCTAATTTTTATTTGTTTGCTGCGCTTTACATTTTACATGACCCGTTGTCACATGTAGTGCGCGAATTCAAGCACTTCTCGCACTCAGTCTGTCTCCTTGCCTTCATAGCCCACAATGGCCTTCGACCATTTCACGTGCTGTTTCCGCTACTGCCTGAGGATTCAGTTTTCTTGATGAATTCCATAGAAATCTGGTCGAGTCGAACCTTCTTGCAATCTTGGAGATAACTGAGCTAAAGCGTTCCCATGTGGACTGGAGGAGAGCGTTGGCAGTGCAATTCCGTTCCCAATTTTTACGGTATTTTAATTCAGTACCTACTTAGAGGTGAAAGATTAGTGAGCAAAACTAATGCATGCTATTAAGGCGGTAGAGCAAAGTCTTTTGTGTAAAATAGTGAAGTTCTCAACTCCTCAAATATTCTAGTTATCGAGAGTCTAACGACAGCTGCTTAAAAGCTAGTTTCTGTTCAGATATAGCATACACTCCACAATAGGTTTTTTTTAAAAGAAGGTTTCGGTAAAGTTTTTCGAAAAATTTGTTGTTTTTGCACTTTTTGTAAATCGTGCGAATCACAGGCGCTGACTTATTGCAGTTATCATCAAACACATCGCCTATTGAGAAAGTTACAAATGAGTTCCGATCGTGAGCACTTCCAACCCTCGATTTCCTCCAACTTTGCATCATGTCATTCAGTGGTGGAGGGCAGTTGAACCAATGATGTATTAAACAACCATAAGGCAAGGTCGTTCGTTATTCACGTCTGATTGTGCGCCTATCGGCTGCCGCGCTGCGATTCTTTGAAGGTTCATTCTTTTAAAGGCTGCGTCCAGTGTCGAGGGCTGAGAGTTCCTTTCATCCGGCACCACTCTCTCAGCCACAGTTTTACATGAAGAACTCGATTGATTGAGGGACGCCAATGACTCATTGCGTTGTACATACCCAAGGAAATCGCTTTTCAATAAGTAACCGTCAGCCTACTGAACACGAAGTTTTGCCTGACAAGAGCTGTTAGATTTCAGCTGAGAGATTCTATCCCACTCGTTGCATAGTCTCAATTTGGCGCAAATAGTTTGGATTTGCACTCAAACAAACAAATGCTTTTTTTTAAAGATCCTAATGCTCTATAAATTGACATGTTGGTCTATTCACTGTTACATTACTTATCATGATGCTACTGTGGTGTTGAAACGGTTTCGATAGACGCTCTGTGTTACTCTACGATATCGCTTCCGACCATATCTCTTTTTTGATCGCTTCAATTCGCAGTCATTTCTCGTCGTTTTCACACAGCTGAATCTTTTGCAGCCCTTAGGTCTGACTCGCGCCGCCTGCAATCAACGCTTTCTCCTTCAGTGTCCCATCCTTTCCTGACTCAACCACCATGGTCATATGGCCGACGAGGTAATCTTCTTCTGTAAGCTGCTTCAGCACCGGCTGGGCGTCTCCAGAGCGAACGGATTTCCTATAGAGTTTCTTCGTTAGGTGAATACGATCCTTGTCGTGCCTTGCTATAGTCGATATTCGTTTATTTCAACTGGCTCTATTCTTGGAAGGGGTGTTTGTTTCCGATAGCTGTGCTGGTGTGGAAGTATCATTTGAATGAGGTTCATCATGCTCTGACGGTAACTCAACACTTGATCTTTCTCCTGAAACAATACTCTGATCGAAGTTCAATTCTTTACCTTCATTGGCATCATTGGTTGACGTCTATGGTGATTTTATCTCGCCATAACAGTAAAGTTCGTCTCCTCTGCAGCTTCTTTCATGGTCACTGCCTTCAATACCTTCATCGCGTATTCACCACTAGCTAATCGATGCGGTGATTTTTGGCAGTAATGTGGTGGTGTCAGACTTCTCCCGCACAATTTCGCTTGGACTTCTCTTCTTATTTTTTTCTGCTTTTGCTTTTAAAAGTTGTCAAACAGTCGATCATCCAGTGCATTCTAACGGGGTTCCCAAATGTTGTACTTATTCCACCAACTTTTATATTGCCAACACGGACCAGCGGACGAATGGACGATTTGGATTTAATTGTACTGCAGCATGTCCTTACTATAAAATCACATCGGAACAGCAAATCATTTAAAATATATTGAAACGGATTTTCAAGTTGAAATCCTACTCTGTCTTCACCAGCGAAACCAAGTAGAAGAGGGATCGACGACTAGAGCTTGTATAATGGGATCAGCTCGGTTACTGAAAACAGTCCGGCTTCTAATAGTTGACCGCTTTTTAAAAATACCACTTTGTAACACAACATTCTTACTAACGTCATGAGTCCACTGCCCTGGTGCATCTGGAGACTTTGTTCAAAACTTCTAGTTATTTACGTTATGCTCCAACGTCCCTTGACCAAAAAAAGGCAGCAATATTCTTACTTAGAAACTCTGATAGCCATTTCCTGATCAGGACCTAAAGTGATTGATAGCTGGGCATTTTGAATCCCAGGAGCCTTTGGAAATCGCGGTTAAGGGTGGTTATTGTAAGCAATTACCGTGTATGATAGCTTGTTTCTATGTGAGTCTACGTTTTCTCAAAGGATTATAATCTCTTCATCATCTTTAAAACCACAAAGGATGTTGACCCTCTTTACCCTACATCTTTACATTCAGCTACACCCTATTCAACTACATCGAGGTGGTGAAGCATAATCAAACAAAAAATTGTTAAATTCAATTCCCAGAATCGACTTTCTATTTACCTCGGCATTGGATTATATATGCGTCGTTTTCTTGTTCAGCAATCGCGAGGTTGTTATACATCATACATTTACTTCCATACAGTGACACACATACAACACCATCGTAGCTGACGTTTGGGCGGTGTCGCCTTCTTCAGAGCCTGGAAGTGTATACTGATATACAATTTACTAAGTCAAACGCTTCAGTAACAGAAACAGAAAAATGAGATCAACAAAACGAAGGACCCAGATGGTGTGGTGGTGAAGTGCGCTGCTCCCCGGTAAGGACAACAGCGCTTATTCGTTCCCCACTGCATACACCTGCAGTCCGGAGTTTTGCAAATATCTCAGCATTTCATACGAGTTATATTTCGCAACATACCCTGCCATTAAGAAGAAAAAGGCAGTAAATAAAAGGGTTAAGAAAGATGAGAGTCTATATTGTAACCGATCGATCGACAAGATGGACAGCTTCTCGAAAAACCCACCGCTTCTAAAGTGACGTCCACTGAGAAAGATTAGAACGGCTGTCGCTTATGTTCATAAATAGCTGCTTTAATCTTTCTCAGTGGAGGTCACGTTAAAAGTGGTGGGTTTTCGAGCTGTTGGTCGTGTAATTGCCATGGAGTTTTTTTCCTTTTCTTTCCTTTTTCTTCCTCCTCTTTTTGTAAGTGTTATTGAAGCGTTTGGCGTGGTAAATTTCATATCAGTATACCGTTTCAGGCTATGAAGAAGGCGATTCTGCCGAAACGTTAGTCACTGTTGTATTGTGTATTTTTGTATGGAAGTAAATGTATGCTGTATAACAACCTCATGATTGCTGAACAAGAAAACGACGCATTGTTAAATTCAGCTAAATATTTAAAGCCTGGACACTTGGCTGAATGGGTGCTTCGGTGGCCTGTGTTCACAGAGACAGAAAAGTCGCCCAGATCGCAGTATAATTTTATCTCTCCTAGTTCATTGTCATCCATGGAGGAGGTCCGGTTCTAGTAGTGGATGAGTAAGATGCGTTGATCCATATCGCGTGTCCAGCTGCTGTTACAGCTGTTCACCGTAGGATGCAAACAACTGAGGATATTTTATTCATGGCATGCTCTTGAAGAAAAATGCTTTCTCTCGAAGTTCACTTCATCGTTCTTCTTATACATCAACTCCAGATAGTTGGCGATCTTATCACTTAACACGATAAGAGAATTTTTAGTGAACGCCCGAACTTCGAGGTTTGATGTGAGGATGTGTACCGATTTCTTTTCAAAACATGTAGTTTAGTTCACTCCTTGATGTTGCATATAATTTTGTATATTACTGGTTAATGACCTAAAAAATAAATGCTAAAGCAGTAGAGCAAGAACCAGCTACGATTTGGATCCTTTAGTTAGTCGATGACTTGGCTTCTCTCTTACGCTTACTGGTTTTCGTTAATGGAAAATAACTTATCTGAATGATTTTTGTTATCATTAGCGAGCACGATATGGGAGTTTGGAAAAGTACCTGACTTTTCGAGATTTTTTCATAAGAAAGCCTTACTATTTCTTCCTTGAGCTCCCTCCTATGTAACCGCACTTGATGTTTTAACGTTGACATTTATAGATGACGCTGGCTCAAATTCTCTTTGCTCTTCTATTGATTTGTTATGCGTACGCATCAAAAGTATTCTATCAAGCAAAAGTATGTTAAGTTAATATGGCTAGATCTCGAACAATCGACTTTTTCGCATTGTTCCGAAAGGTTTTCTTAGGTCGGCGATCGAGTTGTTCTTGATCTCGGACGAGACGTCGTCACTTGGAAACGTGTGCGTAATAACGGCGAAGAAGAACACATTAAGTACTGTAAAGCTGGCGAAACCGACCCGTGTTGCAAGGACTTCGTTACAAAGGTTAAGCGACCTTCAGTTAAGAAATCTTTCTTTTTGTTTTTCATGAAGAATCACTGTATCACTCTACTTTTTTTTTATAAAGGAATGGCGGGCTTAAATGTTTCATGAGCTATAAGCTTGATTCGATTCGGTGAAATATAGCCTGCACGGTGTTTGTTTGCCTTTACGAACTCTATGACGGTATTCTTTTCTAGGACGGTAAGCCGGCCACTCCACCGACTAAGGCACACGTTGATGAAGAAGGCAAGTTAATCTTTGATCCATTTGTGGCAACTGACGTCGGCCTGTACTCGTCGCCTGATCAAAAGCCTAAGGTTAGTTGACCGATTTTTTTCATTTGACGCACAACACTTCGTTAGTTTGGCAATAGAGAACCTCTGTGAAGTAACGCAGTTAAAGTTTATATTCAAAAATCATGTTAGTCTCTGCAACTTTTCTATTGCACTGATGTTTATTCTCATGGAAAACGATAGCAGCCGATTTGAGAAGTTGAGGGTAAAGTTCGGAGAACAGCAATTTTCAATGAGTGTGGAACTGACGCTTTCGTCACTTTTGTGTCCTGAAAGGTGGGAACTCAATTACTCGGAAATAAATGACGCAAGTTTTCAAATCTTGGCGAAAATGCGAGACCTTTTATGTTTAAAGAACGCGCAAAAAGGAGAAAAACTCGAAAAGTCGGCCGTTTTTTCTCAATGAAACTCTCAAACCAAGTCAGTCAAGGTGACTATGACTCGATATAACTATATAACGCCTTTTTTTTTCAGGAAGTGAGCCACGATGGTGTGGTTTCAGCGGTCCTCAACACCCACATCTCCTTAGTAGTCGAGGAATAATCATTGTCTAGTTGTTGCTCTTTGCTGAATAAAGCGATATTTTGAGGTTTGAGTTATTTATGGTAAGTGTTCCTCATACATCCACACCTTTCAGTGACGTATTATACTCGGATATTTGGACGGCCGTCCTCACCGGTTGTGCGAGCCCTAACAAAATCTCCATTTTTCGGAGTTTTGTTGGTTTAGCTATTGCGTTTCTTTCGAGTTTCGAGCTCAGACTAGGCAAAGTCTGTCCCAGGTCGTCACCACTAGAGACAGTTGCCTCCCTTGTCGATCAAAAAGCGACTTTCCACCATGCGACTAGTTTGATACCAGGACGGTGGTCGATCCTTGTATTGGTTTACTCTTACCTAAACTTCCTGATGGGAAAACCGAACTCGTTCTTAGCTTGGGAGACGCTGCCGGAGGGATAAATCTTTCTACTGTACATCGCAGCCCGACACCCAGAAACTACTTCGAGCCACAATGAGGGCGTTAGGAGGCAGTGACGTTTTTAGAGCTACGAAATAAATTTTGCATCAACAATGTCTAGTAGGAAATCGATGTTCATTTTTATTCTACATCACCTCCAACACACCTCTTGTGCGGATGATGCTGGCATTTCTTGCATTCAATTTGTTTTTCTAGCATTTCTCTTCCACAGAGGTCCACGAACATTTCGAGTGTTGTTTCCGCTCTTACTTGATAATTTCGTCTTTTTTACACATTTGGTAGAGCGTTGGTAGATTCGATTATCTTTGCAAGCTTGGAGATATCTAAAGCAAGGGGTTCTGTCATGGTTTGAGGGAGAGCGTTGGACAAGGGCTGATGGACTGCATCACTAACCACTGCTCCACAACTAAGCCGCAGAATTGATAGTGCCGTGAAAATTTACAAGAAGTTTTGCTTTATAGGAAACATATAATAATGGGAGGTTTCACAAATAAGGGTACTAGTAACAGTTCAACAAATATACATGCTACATAAAAATGGTGAGATCCGCCGAAAGCTTAGTTTTCCTTCAATAAGGAATAAAGTAACACTTCGTGTTTTCTCATCAAGAATATAGTGAATTATTTCGTGAATGCCGAGGTTAGTAGGACGTCGGTCTTAGAAATTCCTGTGAGATGTGCTAGCGATAGAATTCCGAATCGTAAAAGAATTACCGTCACTAAGACAGGCAGTAAAATTTTTCAGATACTGCCTACAATACTAAGTTGTTTTGAGCTTCATCTAACGAAGACGACTATGCGATGGGTGCAGACTACCAGAACATATCCACCAACTAAATTCCATCTAAATAAGAATACTACGCGCTTGTCTACGAAGCAAACAAGATCAAATGTTCGCCAAGTTGAAGGGGTGCGCAACGAATGAACACCATTGGGCTACCTCTGGAGGAGAATAGTTGGTAGTTCAGTGTTGATTTGCAACCCTATTAAATCTAATTCTAAAGTAACTCTGCGAAAAAAATTCGAATACCTTTTGAGTAAGTAGCATAACACGGCTTCAAAAAGGTGTAGAAACACCGTTAAAAAGGAGGTAAGCGAGGCACAGTAGTGGAAATATTGTGCTGGAAAATTCAAGACTTACCATATTAGGAAACATGGTTCTCCCTGACTACACACGCGCTCTATTCAAATTGGGTCAAAGTTTCTCACCATTTAAAGCAATTTCTAATGTATACTTCCATAGAGTCGCATGTGCTTTGCATGAACTTTAAAATAGACTCTACAACAAAGCTAGAATTGAAGCACTAAATAGGGTGAACAACAAGAAGTAGGCGCATCAACATTACCTCCGTTTCCTCAACTGTTCCTCGGACAGCAGGTTTCCTCCAACAGTGAAGTTAACATCAAATTTTGCATATAACAGAGCTTTCGAAGTCCTTAATCACTATCGCGGAAAGAGATTTCGCTCCAGCCACACAGAAATGCAAGAATATGGTGTAGGAGAGGTTCGACGGCTGATAAGGTTAAGAAACATTATATTGTCATTGCGGTTAAGAATGGAGTTTTTTTTAGTGATTCCTAATCAGTTGGATGTCGAGGTAACGAAAAAGCATCGTGAAAATACTTTCCCTTATCGGTCGTCAACTGGAGAGGAATTAAAAAGTCAATGCCGAAAATTAAACAACAAATAATTGGTTAGAGTGGTACAAGTGGGTGGTTTCAAACAAGTAGCTATTTTTCAACTCAAAGCTACAACATGTCTCGTCTTATACTTACCTAACAAAACTAGTATGTTAGTGCAAACTGATGATTTTGCGTCTAGCAATTGGCCGTTATTCAAGGTTAGACCGATTATTAGATATGTAGACGGACCAACGGGCAGAATAACGTGGTGTTTAACCGAAATATTTGTCCAGGTGTTAAAACCTGTTCTAGCCTATCTTAAGAATACCGAGATCTTTCTAGATCGTCAACGTAAGGCGCTTCCTAAAAATGTGTGTGAGATGTAGTCATTCGAAGTTACCGCATTTTACACCAAGGTGTCGAATGACTTCGTTATGCAGTCAATCCTTGAATTCTTCATACAACGCGAAGGACCAATAAACAAGTATAGCTTTACGATAGAGCAGTTGATGACAGTCTTAAAGAACTGCCTAAACTGCTCATTCTTCAGATAGTCTCGAAACAACTGTGCCCACATGAGAGGTTTGGCAATGGGACAGAGACTGGCACCAAGCCGTGCCATTGCATTAGTGTTTAAGGTGAAAACACCAGTAACCGATTTCCGGCAATTACTTTACTGTAAATATATAGATGAGTGCTTTGTCATTTGCTCAACACAAGAGAACAGGGGCAAGTGCTTTGAGTTGAATGAACGGTCAGGGCAAAAAAAATTCACGCGAGGAAACCGAAAGCAAATCGACTAACATTTTTTAATGCTTAAATTAACAATAATTATCAGTATGAAAACGTCTACATCACCAGTGGTACCGAAAGCCAATTAATTAAAACGTAAAAAAATAAAAAGGATAAATAATAAAAACCTCTTGGCGTTGATCATTCTCTGGGGATACCCCTTTCATCCGACTTCAATAAGCATCTTTGGAGGCAATTGAATGCATATCCGAAAATTACAACGTCTCTCGGTGGCCCACCGATGTATCGAGTCAATACTGTTATCCTCCCAGACAAGTCTGGTACTGATTTGGAGATACCACAGCAATGAAGGGTTGGTGGGCCATGGGCGCATGGACCCATTCCACGTGTGTGTTGCTGGGCGCCTCAGAGCACTGCGCCCTTCGTGCCCTAATAAATAAGTTTTATTATCTCTCCGATCAACTCTCACACAAAAGATGTCACTTGTAAAGAAATATGTTTGGAACAGTCATCGATGTGTGAATAGGAAGAGTGCTGAATCATTGAAAATGGGGCGGCAAAAATCCGTTTCCAAAGGCTACAAAACTGATCCCACAATGCTAGGCATAGAGGAAAAACGCGCCACCAAATAATAATTCTATGGAGAATAAGGTTCACTTTAGACTACCTTTTATTTTCGACGAAATATGTGCAGCTATACTGTCTATGAAGGGAATTCTGGAGAATTGGGTGACAGTGGTTGAAATGCCCGTGGACACTCTAAGACGACTAAGTAATCATAACCGCCTCGTGACCGTCTATGGCAACGCAAAATTTGATATTGTGCACTGACGGTGGAGATCGTGATTGCATGAGTTTGGGTACAGCTTATCTGATCTCTTTCAAAGAGTGCGGAGACGAATACATGATCGAAACCGGTAGATCACTCTGCATCCGCATAAAAGAACACATTTTAGGCAAACTTGAGGTTAAATCAAATACTCAAGTTGGTGCGAATAGGATGGATACAGAGAGATAGTGGGAAAGACTTTGAAGTAGGAGTTACGATCCTAGCATAGGAATCGAAAACTTCAGCGCGTAAATCTCTCAAGACATTCAGCACAAATTCCAAGAATCGGAAAATGAACCGCAGGGAGCAGGCCTAGTCATCAAGCGTGATCTCACACGGCATTTAAGACTTATATTTTAATGTAACAGGCATATTACGTTTCCATGTGAACTCTTTGCCATCGCACTTCATATGAAATACTCAGTAGAAGACTCATCCAAAGCTGCGAGTTTGTAAGGAAAGTATTTTGTTTTGAATGTGGTTGAAATCATGGTTTAGTACTTTTTCTGTTTGGTTCCGGAGCTGCTTGGCTGGGTCGGTTGCAGTCATCTTGACCATTCCATGATCTGGATAAGATGAAGTCCGCCGAAACGTCAGCTTTTCCTTCAACAAAGAATAAAATACCATCATGCGTTTGCTCATCAAGAATTCAGTGAATTGCCTGAAAATGGTAGTGATAAAGGAAGTAGTAGAGAGCGCTGGCAGCATTCAAGCTTTATTACGAGGCTATTTGAGTTATTTCTATTGATTGTAACGTCGTTGCTAACACTGGATCATCGAGATTTTGCACACCTAAGCAATTTCTCAAAGCTTGGTTTTCAAGGATCGTTCGCTTGCGTCATTCCTCTTGCAATCTTGTTCACTAAGAGTTCCAACTTTTTTTTAGAAGCATAGTAATAACTGATATATTTATTTATGTGATCTTATAAACTGGTCTTCTTAAGCTGACGCGAGATTGGTACAGGTCTTCGCTGTCGTTATCGTCGTTTTTGATGTCATTGATCGATGGCTGACGTTTCGACGACTTCGCCTTCCTCAGAGCCTGGACGTATTTAATGTTAGGATACTTTTTATTATTCGCTGGAAAAGAAGGTTAAAGTATTAATGAAGATCGAATTTTCAAATAGACGCCATATTGAACAGGAAGGCCACTCACCGTGGTGTTACGTGCGGGACTGGCCCACACGTAGTTCACGCGAGCAAGACACGCCCCGGGGTCAAAATATCATTTTGAAATAGGGCGTCAGGTCACGCGTGATAGTGAGGCATTCGTCCTTCCAGTTGATCTGTGGATTTTTGAAATTTATTCAAAACGCCTCAAGAGTTTTGCGCGTTGATGTTTTTGATTCCTGCGCTAGGATCCGCACATTCACTTCAAAATCATTTTTTTTCTTTTCTTTTCTTTCTTTCTTTTGTGCCCTATGCGTACCTAGAGGGGTGTTTAGACGGATTTTAGCTTTTCCTTCTAGATGTTCTTTTATGCGAACACAAAGTGGCCTACCCGTTTCCCCGATATAATCCTCGCCGTATGCATTACATGAGATTAAATATGTTATACCTAAATTCATGCAATCACCGTCTCTCCCGTTAGGACAGATCATACAGTTTTCTGAGCTGCGCAAACGATCACAGAGACGGTTTCGAACTAACTGGCGGCGTAGGGTATTCGGTGGGATGTCAATAATCGTTACATAATTTTCAAGACCACTTTTTCCTAAGCACTTTTTAATGGCGTGACTTACTTCATTTGATATGAAGGGCAGCTTAAAGGGGATCTTACTTTCGTCTGAAATAATATTTTAGGAAGCTACCCAACGTTTTCCTCTAACCCGAGTGGCTTCTACTTCGTAGCCATTGGAAATGGCTATTTTTCGTGCCAGGTTTAGCGATTCCTTCCTTTCCTCTTCTCCTGTGCACACATTTTTAGCCGTACGATACATATTTTTGATAAGTGCTTTTTCCATGTGTGAAGGATGAGAGGAGAGGCAGTGGACTAGAATGTTTTTACTACTTGGCTTGCGATACCATTTTGTTAAATAGCCACTTGCTGAGAGCCTTATTTGGATGTTTAAGAATGGAAGCCAGTTCTCGGTAGGTTCTTCTCGTGTAAATTTTGTATACTCTGACTGTCGGTTTGATAATTCGAAGCACTCATCCATCTGTTTTTGTGTGGAACAGACGATGAAGCAGTCGTCTAGGTATCGACAGCAGAGTAAGGGTCGGTGATCGAGAACTGCAGCTTCCACCTTAGACATGAAAGCGATGGCAAGGCTTGGTGCTAAACGATGCCCCATCGCCAACCCTCTAATTTGCGCAAAATATTTTCCAGACCACCTACGATTGGAGAACTAAGATACTGTTTTAAGAGGGTCATTAGTTGCGCAATCGACAAGCCGTGCATTTTTTTTTCTTTTCATGCTCTACGAGCAACTCCAGAAAGGCTTGTATTGCGGAGTCAAATTTCAACAATCCAAAGATGAACCGGAAGGACGAATGCCTCACTATCATGCGTGACCTGGCGCCCTATTTCAAAATGATATTTTGACCCCGGGGCGTGTCTTGCTCGCGTGAACTACGTGTGGGCCAGTCCCGCACGTAACATCACGGTGAGTGGCCTTTCTGTTCAATATGGCGTCTATTTGAAAGTTTGATCTTCATTAATACTTTAAACTTCTTTTCCACCGAATAATAAAAAGTATGAATGTGTCGTTTTCTTGTTCAGCAATCGCGAGGTTTTTAAACAGCATACATTTACTTCCATAAAAACACAATACAATACAACGCTAGCTGACGTTTCGGCAGTATCGCCTTCTTCAGAGCCTGGAAGGGTATACTGATATGCAATCTACTAGGCCAAACGCTTCAATAACACTTACAAGAAGACGAAGAACTCTCTGGCAATTACACAATCAACAACTTCTCGAAAAACCCACCGCTTTTTCGTGACTTCCAATGAGGAAGTTTAGAACAGCTGATTATAGTCGCATGTGGTTGACGACTGCACCATCCCACATCAAAAATCGATGCGAACGTACGAGATCAGGTCGCGTATGATCTCCGGGCATTCGTCCCTGCTATTCATTGTAGGGCTTTTGGCATTGATCCAAAAAGCCTCAAGGAGTTTTCGCGCTGGTGTTTTGGACTCCTGTGCAAGGATATTGACTTTCACTTCAAAATCGTCTCCGCTATGCTTTTGTATCCTATGCGTGCCTAGTGGGGTGCTTCGTCTTAGTTTTCGTTTGCCATCTAGGTGTTCTTTTATACGGATACACAAAGGTCTGCCCGTTTCGCCAATATATTCATCTCCGCAATTGTTACACGAGATCAGGTATATCGTACCTGAACTCNAGTGCACACAGAGGTGGCTGTTCGAAACATGTTTCTCACAATCGCCCTCTTTGTGTGTGAAGGGTGGGAAGAAAGGAAATGAACAAGGATGTTCTTGTTACTTGGCTTTCGATACCACTTTGTCAGGTAACCGCTACTTGATAGGTTTATTTGGACGTCCAAAAACGGAAGCCAGTTTTCTCTCGGTTTCTCCCGGGTGAACTTTATGTACTCGGACTGCTCGTTTAATAATTCGAAGCATTTGTCCATCTCCTCCTGCGTAGAGAAGACGACAAAACAATCATCTACATATCTGCAGTGGAGTAGTGGCCGGAGATCGAGAACAGGGGCTTCTATCTTAGACATAAACACAATGGCCAGGCTTGGTGCCAATCGCTGTCCCATTGCCAACCCCCTTATTTGCGCGAAATATTTCCCAGACCATCTGAAGATCGAGCAGTTTAGGCACTCCTTTAAGAGAGCTATTAGCTGCTGGATGGACAAGCTATGCATATTTATTCTTCCTTCATGTTCAACAAGAAGTTCGAAGATGGCTTGCATTGCGGAGTCATTCGATACGTAAGTATAAAAAAAGTAAGAAGATCAGTTTATAAGATCACATAAATGAGTAAGGAACATTATAGTGAATAAAACTACCGATTTTTCTCATTTTGGTAAGACGGAATTCTTACTGCTCGAGTACATGGAATTTTCCATTCTTTTTTTTTTCGTTCGCCGGAAAAAATATTTTCAAAGGGAAGGAGGCCATTGAGCAAAAAAGATGTGGTCCAGCTGAACGCGATGTTGATCGCGATGGAGTCTATTAGATTTGCGGTACTACGCCTACGTCAAAAATTCACCAAAATTTGAACTCTTCCGAAAAATTAAATCTGAAGAACATTGGAATAATACTTTTGAAGAACTACAGATGACATAATATGACAAGATTAAACGAACGCTTTTTAATGCTTGCCTCGCATTCTCAATTCTCCAAGTGCTCCACTTATTGAAAAATTATCGGGGTGGTTGTTGTAAAGGCGCTCTATCGCGAATGTCTTAAAGCGTGAGGCATAAATTGTGAAGTACTTTACAAAGGATATCTTCTTGTGCACATGCAGGATAGCCGCCTTGAGGATTGAATGTCCCATCAGTTCGCTGTTTTCCTTTAAATTTCAGGTATTGCAACTTTTTTTAGTTGAAACACCATGGCATCTGTGCCAAAGTGCGAAAGTTGCTGAGGTTGTTATACATGGAACGACAATCAGGTGAAGTGCCTCTCAGTAACTTCTACCGTTTTTCTATGAGCACGGTGCAGCTTCTCCATTATCTTGTGACGACACATCGCATCTATGAGCTGAGAACAATAAGGTTCACCACAGCTATTACACAGGCGTCCTCACTCATCGATGAGGTTTTTAAAAGCTAAAACCTTGTCACTGAAGAAGTGTTTAAGCTAATGTCTGCTATTTACTATCTGTGAAATGGACTATAGTGACTCGCATTCCCATCGACACACGTATTTTCTAAAACAGTGAGCTTTTCCCAATCACGTAGTTATTTTCTGAAAGAGTAATGGAGCTTTATAATAGTGCTGGCAGATCACTGGTTTTTTTTTTGCATTTTCTTGTTGTTATTCTTATGTGAACAATAAATCCGCAATTGTACTTTATTAGAAGTAACAAATCTAAGCCAATATCAATTGGAATGAGCAATGGATAGTTGGATAGCAATGGATCAAGTAACTTCTTTTCATCTTTTGTATGCTTGATCAGTCTGCTAGATCAAGCTCAGTGTTGGGTTCCGTGGAAGTAGAATCATTATTGGATGAACTACTACTATCCACGATGACTTTCGGAGTAGCGAATAGTGCTTCGAATGCTCCTAGATTTGAAATGTCCCAAGATCCAGAATCGGTTCCATTGTTTATCTAAAATATAAAGTAAGAAAACAAGACTATGAGTAAATTTTGTGGTTATTCATTTTTAAAAAATATGAAGGAAAGTGTTTCTTCAATCTGATTGTTTTCCTCTAATAGTGTCATTTTCTTTTTATATTAAATCTGAAACGTGTAACCAGATTGCAGCGATGATTGAATCAACCACTTACAAGTTTAATTCTGTATTTTTTGGCATATTTTGATGGGTTTACCTCTGCGATTAGGGTCGCGATTTCACGAGCTTCTCCTAGGTTGCGTTTTCCATCAAGGAGTTCAAGGAATTCCTGATATGCTCTCGCATACAGTCCAATCAAACGTTCTTCATCGGCCGACAATGTGGAACCATTATTGGCACCATGATTGCCGTGATTTTCATAAGTCTACAAGGTTATGAAAATAAAAAGAAATGACGATGATTCTACCAAGAAGCAAGTACACAGCGGACTAGCACTGCGTGAAACCTATTCACCTGAGCTTCGTGTTTTTCGACAAGCAGCAGAACCATGAAAGTGGCAAAAATGAGTCGCATTCTGTGAAATATAAAACTAGAAGAACTGTTTTAAATAAAAGAAATCGATCCCTAGAATCAAATTTAGTACTGAAGACTGGTGATCTTGGAAAAGAGTGAAAGCAGGGTGGTGGTGGTTTGTATTGTTTGCAACTGAAGTGGCCATTCAGATTCCTACCACTATTTATTCCGAGAAGATCGTCTTCGACGAAAGTGATGACAGGGCTTACATTTGTCCGTGCCACTCTGTATTAGGAGATTTGTCATGAAAATACTATAGTCAGCGTTACGATTTTCCGAAAACATTTTTACGACTATAGTAGTCGGCTTTCTGTCAACGTACTAGTAACGACTTATCATACTAAAGAATGGAAAGCAACGTCGACAAATCGAAGCCATTTGAATCAGAAAACCTAAAATAGGGCAGTTTTAAGGAATATACTTTCAGCTTTATTTCGATATAGCGAGAAAGGACGAGCGAATTTCGTTTCACTTTTTTCAATGAAACGCTGATGAACAGTTTGGTCTATTAAGACAGTGTGTCACTATGAGGAATTTAGTGGTGGTCGGAGCCTCGGATCCTCTCTCCTTCGCTTGCGTGAGACGGGATATTGCTGGCATACTCCTTTCGACAGCGGGTTAAGTAACGCTGAGTGATCTTTCATTCTTTCTTTCATTCTTCAGAACTGGCTGAGAGACAGGCAAAACGAAGGACCCGGATGATGTGGTGGTGAAGTGCGCTGCTCCCCGGTAAGGACAACAGCACGTGTTCGTTCCCCACTGCATACACCTGCGGTCCGGAGTTTTGCAATTATCCCAGCATTTCATACGAGTTATATGGTGACTACTTTGAAGAAGGTGCGCCCTAATCTGCTTTGATTCTTTCCTTCCTTATAGGTCTTACGGTTTTTGATTTCTTCTTCCCTGCCATCACAATGTTCTCTATGAAATATTGATGCCTCCATTTGATTGCAACCCCTAAATTTTCCATCCATTTCTCCCACCGAAAGAGATAAGCAAAACGAGGGCACAGTATCTCCCACAGTCACTCTATTGTTGGAGCTTCTAGAATGTTAACGACGAAGACCTAGGATTTGGATGTAACTGGCATCGGTGGTCTTCGAATGAAATGAAGCATTCAGTTCACACGAGTAAAGTACAACGAACGTCGTTATCGTAATACTGTACTAAAGGGAAAAAAACATGTTGGATTGTCAAAAATCTGTAGTCACTTTTTTATGTACTGCCTATTCGTTTTTTTATGGCAGGATGTGCTGAAAAATGTAACTGCAATGATGCGGAGATATCTGGAAAACTCCGGACAGCAGGTGTCCGCAGTGGGGATCGAACACGTTATTGCCCTATTCGGGAGCTAAATCGTTCACCACGACGCCATGTGTATCCTTCGTTTCGCCTTTGTCTTAACCGTGTTTCTATATGTGCAAACAGCAACCAACCGCGAACGGAATTGATCTGGGGAGTGCGAATCGTCAATGAACCCTGCTAAGCTGAAGCTGTAGTGTAAGTTACAATAAAATCACTTTTAACTCACTGTCTATTCTTTTTTCATGGCAGGGCATGCTGTGTGGTGGCGAACACGATAGCCCGAGAAAAGGTAATTTCGTGTTCGATCCGCACCGCAGACACCTGCTGTCTGGAGTTTGCAAATATCTCGGCATCGTCGTAGTTATATCTTAAGATTCTTTTGTCAATAATTTAACTAAAATAAAGAGATTCTGCTCATTTGACATTGACCTGAGGAAGAAGTTGTTCAGGCGATAACAATCGTGTTCTCACTAATTGCTGCTGAAACAGTCAGAAAAATCGTAGTGCGTAGGTTTTCAAGCTGATAGGCATAGTACTCCCGACGACGTATAACTTCCAACTTAGGAACGGGAACCAAACGTCTGTTCATTCGGGCGTTTTCGCCTCATGGTAGTCTTGGGTTAGGGCTGCATATCCAACAAATTTACCGAGTTAAACGTATCTTTTGACTCTGTTTGCTCATTTCTTCATTTTTTACTAAGCAATAAAAGACATGTTTTTCAAACCTAAACAATAACACAGTGATTTTGTTTCGGCAAAAATTTTTATTCCACCACATGCTTTATCAAGGCATTTCGGTTTTTCTTCAAACGCTTTGCTTTTAGAGGTGCATCTGATGAACCACTCCAGGTAATTTCTCATATGATTGCTTCATCATCAAAAGAATAGACAAGCTTTATAGCCTCCTAAACAGCCCGTTTTCATAAACGATCGCTTATGACCTAACACAACATCTACCCCAGTAGTACTTTTTCTACTCATCAAGATGTTCTTTATAGAGTGCCAAGAGATATCCGCTTGGTCGTTATGAGGTTTAAACGTGTACGACTTTCGTGGTTGAAACCCGTACCACAATCTTCATTTCAAAGCGGCAGCGATTTAAGTATGGGCTAACACTTGCCTAGTCTTCAGCAGAAAAATTTCGTGTGGTTGTATGTATGTAGTCATGTGTGAATCACTTCGTCCTATTGTTCATGCAGCACTGCCGAGCACATCGTTCCATTCTCGAAACTACGCACTTCATTGTAAATGTCAGTTTAATACTTACTGCGATTCCGTTTTAATAATCGGGCAAGAATATTCGTTTTGAGGTTGTGTGTTTACTTCCTTACTTGATATGACAACTAGGAATTATGTGGGCTCCAGCACAATCTCCATTTAGCTGGTACTTATCTGGTCAAACAAGTTTTTTTCGTCTGCAGCTCAGAAATGGCCGTCCTGGTCTGTCTTGAGTGATCATCATACCTAAATGAAGATGTTAAAGGATCGAAGTTAGATTCACCATTTTGCGGCAACGTTGATATCAGAATGATGGCAATTCCTACCATAAGATGACTCTTAGCTACTCCTCTACAAGAAAATGGCTTATGCTCAGTTAATTTAACTCTGCTTTTCATTCTATTTTCGTCGATAAGAACCAACGGTGCCAGTAAAGTAAATAAAACCTCTATTTTCCATTAATAATTGTTTGATGCTCAATTTTAAGAAGTGCGCCTGTAATAATAGAATAACAGTTTTCATTAGCTTCTACCTGCAACGCCGAGAGCGAGAACCATCTTGAATTGTGAGAGGACGAATGCTTATTGCAGAAAGAAAAATCGTCTGAAAGATTTGCATTTCCCAGGTACAATTTGCTTAACATTTTATTCCTGTCACCGTAGCATTCAAGCTCTAGAAACAGTCGACAATATATAAATACATTTCAGATCTTCTGGCATTTACGTTATTCAGGAGAGCTTCGCTACATGAATTTTCAGTGAAGAAGACCAGAATGATCCCAGATTGCAGTAAAATTAATGAGAGGTCAAATTGTAGTAGAACACAGCAAAACGACACGAAATCACCTGAAAACACTGACTTGTCTGGGCAGCGGCGAAAACTGTAATTTTAGATGAGAGTGAAAGGTGATACGGTATTGTTCAGGCTCACTAAACATTGTATTTGACATAATAGTCTGCCGTAAAATAATAATGGTCAATAACGAAAAAGTTTAACATTGTGATTTCTGGATCGACTTTCTCTTAACCTCAGCATTGGAATATAAATGTGTCGTTTTCTTGTTCAGCAATCGCAAGGTTTTTAAACAGCATACATTTACTTCCATAAAAACACAATGCAATACAACGCCAGCTGACGTTTCGGCAGTATCGCCTTCTTCAGAGCCTGGAAGGGTGTGCTGATATACAATCTACTAGGCCAAACGCTTCAATAACACTTACACAAAGACGAAAGACTCTTTGGTAATTACACGATCAATGAACTTCTCGAAAAACCCACCGCTTTTTTGTTGTGATTTCTGTTGCAGCCGCAGCTTAACTGGGTTTAATGCTGATTTGTGTTTCCTAGATCATTCCCATTGACGGATGATTGCTGATAGCACCGTTAGTATAAAACACTGGATGAGGGAATAGCAAAGTAAGGGTCTCGGTTGGTCCAGTAGATAAGAAGTGGGGCTCCAGAAAAAGCAATCATGGGTTCGAAGCAGGCTCCGAATTTATAGCTTTGCAAATATCTCACCTTCCCTGTTTTCGTAGCATTCACATAAGTAGGAGAATATCGCAGATTAAAGGTATTGCCGGCCCACGAAAACACAAAATCCTCCTCAACTAAAAAATTCAACAAACGGCGTAAAATCCTTCCAAACTAGAAACCTATTGCTATTTACCTAAAAAAGATAATGAATAATGAAAAACAAAGAGATCCATTCGATACTTATTCAAACTGAAACTAGCCTTTGCACACGAAAGCCGGCAGGCAAAATCTTACTTTGGGAAATGTGATGGCTAAAGAATCTTAAAGTTGTTCGCTCAAATAGCATTGATCGAAAAACAGCAAAGAATTCACTAAGAAAATAAAAATACAGCATCGGCATGACTTCTAAAATCCTACTAGGGTAAGTAAACGTTCGATTCCCAAAACAATCAATATACTGGAAATATGAATACTCGAAATTTTTAACTAGTTATTTCTTCTCGACAAGGAAAAGAAGTTCGAATATCTCACCTCACCGAAACTAATAAAAAAGATAATGAATAATGAAAAATAAAGAGATCCATCTGGTCTGGTCGCCGAAGTAGTCAGCATATTGGAAATCTGGATTCCTGGTGAGGTCAACCAGTTATTTTTATTTAGGAAGTAGATTTCGCAGTAATTGAGATTAGTCCTGAAATGGCAACAACTTTCGTTATGTGATGTTTGCTACGTGACAGTATTAAGAGGACAATAATACGTTAGCAACACAATATTCAACAACAATTAACCCAGTATTTCTGCTGAAGGAAACCCAAACAAGCATAGATGTAATTTGAAATAGCGCTGCATCTATGCATGCTTTATAATAGCGCCAGAGTGTACCACTTGGCGTCTTAGAGAATCATGAAGGACAACACACTTCTTCAGTCTACTGCTTCTGCTGTTTTTGACAAAAAACTAGCAGCGGTCCAAACTTCATCGTGTTAACTGCTTTTACTCATAAA